GATATGCAAATCAAACTCAGACATGTGTTTGGAAGCATAATTTGATCTCAAGGGACAAAACATAGAAAGGCAAATCTCCAGGGGACAAAACAAGATCACTGCAGCAAATCAAACTAATCAAATTAGATAAGTTGATCTCCAGAGGACATTACATCGACATGTTAACCTTAAGAAGACATTACACCGACAGGTTAACCTTCAGAGGACAAAACATCGACATGTTAACCTCCAGAAGACAGTACATCGACAGGTTAACCCTCAGATGACATTACATCGACAGGTTAACCTTCAGAGGACATTGCATCGGCAGGTTAATCTTCAGAGGACAATACATCGACAGGTTAACCTCAAGGGGACAATACATGAACAGGAAAATCTCTAGGAGACAATATTTGGAAATGGCAATTTCCATGAGATATATACACGGACAGGCAAAACTCTAGAGGACAAAATATGGAGAGGCAAATCCCCAGTGCACAATTCATGGGCATATTAACCTCAAGGGACAATACAGACACAGGCATATCAAACTAAACAAATCAGGTGATTGGAATCATAAGATGGTACCCAGAGGGGACTACATCGACATGTTAACCCAAGGAGACAATACATGGACAGGTAAATATCCAAAAGACACTTTATGGACAGGTTAACATTCAAGGGACAATAAAAGTACAGGCAAATCCACAGGGGACAATACATGGACGGGCAAATCTCAAGGGGGTATTATTTTGACTGCAAATCCCCAGGAACTAATACATGGGCAGGCAAAACTTTAGGGAACAATAAATTGTAATGCAAATTTCCAGAGAAAAATACACTGATAGACAAATATCCAGGAGACAATACGTGGACATGCAAATTCCAGGGGACAATACATGGTAGGAAAAATGTCCAGGGAATGATTCATGGACATGTAAATCTCAAGGAGTTAACACATGGACGGGCAAATCAAACCCTACAAGCCTGGTTGTTGGAGGCATAAGTTCATCGACAGGTTAATCTCTAGGGGACAATGCATTATCCATAGATAGGCAATTTCCAGGAGATATATACATGGACAGACAAAACTCTACGGGAAAAAATATGGAGAGACAAATCTCCAGTGGACAATTCATGAACATGTGAATATCAAGGGACAATATATAGACTAATCTAATTAAACAAATCAGGTTTTTGGAATCATGAGATGATATCCAGAGGACACTACATCGACATGTTAACCTCCAGTAGACAATACATGAACAGGAAGATCTCCAAAGGACACTTTGTGGACAGTTTAACATTTAGGGGACAATATATGGACAGGCAAATCTACAGGGGACAATACATGGACTGGCAAATTTCTAGGAGACAATACATTGACAGGCAAATCCCCAGGACATAATACATAGAGTGACAAGACAGGTCTTCGGAATCATAAGTTGAATCTCAAGGGGATAACACAATAAAAGGCAATCTCAGGGAGACTATTCATTGACAGGCAAATTTTTAAGGGACAATTCATGTAGGTGAATCCAACAACCCATTGTTGGGTTGCTGCCACTAAATTGGTAATTTTAAGGAAATTTTGCAGTTTTTGGTTATTATCTTGAATATTATATAGATAAAGATAAACTGTAAACAGCAAAAATGTTCAGCAAAGTAAGATCTACAAATAAGTTTATATGACCAAAATTGTCAATTGACCCCTTAAGGAGTTATTGCCCTTTAAGAACAATTTACACAATTTGTTTATCATGTTTTCTTACTTTAATAAATCTTCTCCTCTGAAACTACTGGACCAAATTAAACCAAACTTACTTTTATTTACAGTAAAAAAAGAGAGACCAAAAAATTTACTTATATTTCAAAAACTAATGCATTTAGAGCAAATCAGACAAGAAGTTAAAGTATTCATTAGGGCTAGGTTACCTGCCCTGAAATTATCAGCCAAATCTGGTATCTGATTTTTAGGTTATTGCCCCTGAATTGATGATTTTAAGGAAATTTTCTAGTTTTCGGTTATTATCTTTAATATTATTATAGATAAAGATAAACTGTAAACAGCAAAAATGTTCAGCAAAGTAAGATCTACAAATAAGTTTTATATGACCAAAATTGTCAATTGACCAATTAAGGAGTTATTGTGCTTTAAAGACAATTTTTCACAATTTGTTCATCTAGTTTGCTTACTTTAAAAAATCTTCTCCTTTGAAACTGCTGAATCAATTTCAGCCAAACTTGGGCTGAATGAGTTTCACAGTATCTAGTATAAATTTTGTATTTTATATCCTTGTACGTCAAGAAACATAGCCACTATGGCTAAAATGAAACATAGGGGTAAAATGCATTTTTTTACTTTTGAAGAAAATATGACAGATACAAAGAACATTTAAATGTCATTTTTAAGCCACTCATCAATATATATTGAAAACAAAAATAATCATTGATGAAAGACTTAAGCAAAAAATTACAGGTGAGCGATCCAGGCTCTTGAGAGCCTCCTGTTTGTAATCTGATTGTTTTTTCTCAATTAATTGAGTTAACAATCTATAATTTTTCTCTACTTATTCAACTTCCATAAAAGACCTCATCCAAGATCTTTATATGTTTGTATATAGTTATAATAATTAATTTTTGATCATTTTGTGGCAAAATAAGAAAGTGTGACCATGGAAGTATTGTATTGATTTCATTTTACTTCCATGGTGTGACAGACAATAGGAATAAAGGACAGATAGAAATATACTGCCATTTACTATATCCCCCAACCACAATGCAAATGGGCTTAAAGAAATCAGGGTGCTTCTAAGAACTGAGTGGGGTAAAGATTGCTTTCAATTTGCATAGTGAACTTAAAATTAAACACGACATTGTATAAGCAAAGGAAAATATTTAGGCAGTATCATGAAATGAGTTATTTCCCTTTGTTTATACAAATGTAAGTGGAACAGATAGATTCATACATCATGCACAAATGATTTCTTTGACAACAGGCACAATTTCCAAATTTGATATTTGAAAATATAACATTAATGAATTGGTTGACATGGATAGTATCTTAAGAATATTCTCCACATTGTGCTATGTTTTGTTTACTAACCAAAAAATTAGAGGCTCTAAAGAGCCTGTGTCGCTCACCTAGGTCAATGTGCATAATCAACAATGGACTCTCTCCAAAATTGTAGACAAGAATAGAATTCACGACAAAAATTTCTGTTTTGTTGATCTTGTATTGCCGTTCATTTTGTCAATTAAGTTTCTCTCTATCTTCTGTAGTTTTTGCTCAAAACACAAAAGAGGGTAAAAAAAATCCTCATTTAAGGGCAATCACTCCTATGAAGAGTGACAGTCTACTAACTATATCAGCAAAATTTGACTTCTTTGTGGATCTTGCTTTGCTGATCATTTTTGTTATTTAAAGTTTCTATTTATCTATTATAATTTTTATCATATAAGGCAAAATGCAAAAAAAAATGGTAAAAAACCTCATTAAAGGGCATTAACTCCAATAAGGAGTCCTTGAAAAATTTCCTCCATATTGTCTTAAATGTAGATCTTGTCTTGCTGATCATTTTTGCTTTGTCATTTAAGAGCAATAACTCCAAAAAGAAGTCGCCCAACAGTTTGAGGTCAATGAACAATTGGTAGAGCTCAACATTCTGAACATTTCTGCACTTGTATGATTTTTTTATCTATTTATAAAGGTTTTCAAAATAATAGACAAATAAATGGGGAATGTGTCCATGGGACACAGATGATGCACCCGCTTGCATATCATATAAAGTTATAAAGGGACATAACTGAGGAACAGTAAAAATGTTGCTACCCAAATTTTTACTTGATCTGAGTTTTGTGGTAATAAGTATTGTGTATAAGTCTCATAACATTTGGTTGAGGCTAACTTAAGTTAGAGAACAGAAACGAAAAAATTCAGGAATTTTTCCTTTTTGTAAACAGGCATAACTCTAGAACGGTAAAAGTGACATCACAAAAATTTAAACTTGATCTGTATTTTGTGGTAATAAGCATTGTGTTAAAGTTTCATAGCATTTGGTTGAGGCAAACTAAAGTTAGAGAATGGAAACGAAAAATTCAGCAATTTTTATATTTATTAAGGGGAATAACTCAAGAATGGAAAAAGTAACACCACCGAATTTCAAACTTGATCTGTATTATGTGGTAATAAGTATTTTATATAAGTTTCCTAACATTTGGTTGAGGCAAACTAAAGTTAGAGAAAGGAAACGAAAAATTCAGCAATTTTTATGTTTATAAAGGGCATAACTTAAGAACAGTAAAAGTGACGCCACCCAATTTCAAACTTGATCTGTATTATGTGGTAATAAGCATTGTATATAAGTTTCATAATATTTGGTTGAGGCAAACTAAAGTTAGAGAACGGATACGAAAAATACATCAATTTTTCCATTTGTAAAGGGGGATAATTCTAGAACGGTTATAGTGATGTGACTAAAATTCAAACTTGATCTGTGTTTTGTAGTAATAAGCATTGTATATAACTTTCATTAACGTTTCATAACATTTGGTTGAGGCAAACTAAAGTTAGAGAATGGAAACCAACTTTGGGACGTACATACCGACGTACAGACAGACAAGGGTAAAACTTAATGCCCCCTCCGCTACAGCGAGGGCATAAAAATGTTCTATTTTTAGCCATGTCGGCCATCTTGGTTGGCAGGCGGGGTCATCGGACACATTTTTTAAACTAGATACCCCAATAATAATTGTGGCCAAGTTTAGTTAAATTTGGTCCAGTAGTTTCAGAAGAGAAGATTTTTGTAAAAGTTAACGGAAGACGGACACTGACCGCCAAGAAAAGCTCATTGGGCCAGGTGAGCTAAAAAGATGTTTAAACCATGTTGAAATATAGCTAACCAGCCAGTGGCTATACGAATTTGATTCCACTTTGTGCCATCTTTACCTCAAAAATTCAAGAAATTATACAGTCTAACTAACCTTTTGCCAACAAGGTTCAAATAAATAATAATAAGCAGTTATGAAAATAGTGATTTTATTTACACAATGAAGTGATTGCACATCAATACGTAGTATAAACTGTTCCAAGATTTGTTCAAAATAAAGCATTCATTCTGATAACATATCAGTCAAATATTAATAAAGCTCTTTTTTATGTAACAAACACATACAGTCATAAAATTGAAGAATTTGTCTTAAAAGAGATTTTCTACTTATGTAGATGTACATTCAATTCAAGGTTGAGTATAATCTCTTTTGAGTTGAAATGCTCATCTGTTTCTAAATAGTATAGGGTGTAACAACTATCATTTTCCATGTGCCTTTTCCATGCACAAAGATGGAATTTTAGTTTGAAGAGTACAGGGCTAAATCTTAAGGAATGTCCGGCAAGCCTGAGCATTCATTTTATGTTAATTTGCTTCAGTTTCATCAACTTAGCAGGCTTTTAAAAAAAAAACGTTGGCTTTGATCCTTCAGGCTGACATATATTTTTAAATACTACAGGGACATTTTTACAAAATTCTTCAGCTTTTTACAAGTATTGCATGCTTTAAATTTTTTGTTCGATTACTTGAGATCACACTAAAATTATACCTTTAAAAATTTGCCCCTTATTACAAGTGCAGGTAATAATTTAAATATAAACTGGAAGGATGTTTGAAGACATGTAAAAATATGTAAACCAATTATATATTATTTTTCAATATTAATTTCATAAAACAGATGCTCCATCAATATACACAAATTCTTGTTTTTATTACTTAAACAATCAATAGACATCACACATATATTTTATCCAAACATTTATGTAAATATATTCTGAGGACAAAACAATATTTTGTTAACAATGACAATTATTCAAAACAAGTAAATATTTCTTGCTATTGTCTTCTGCTGTCGACAGCATATTTCTATTGGAAGTTGTAAAGGCACTTCTCTTTAAGAAGAACATTGTTCATATATTGATTTGCTCGACTAGCTTGATTGCTCTTATTTGGTGTAAGTGTATGAGTCCTTGAAGGGAGTATCTAAGAAAATGAGATTTGAGAATTGAAGTCTTAATTTTTACATAATAAATTAATAGTCACATATTTCTAAAGTTTAATAATCTGAATTGACCTATTAAAGAATATTGAAGCCAACACTTGTAATGGGTCAATACCAGATGTTTTGTGGGCTACTATAAACAATGTATGACCTTCTTCTGATTTTCTTTTACAGAAGCTGCCAACAGAGGGTAGATATGTGACATAATTTTCTATATATGTACTATATTCAAAGGAAAAACATGTATTTGTTAATCAGGAAGTTGATAAACGAGGGTCTGGATGGGGTCCTTCATTTCTTTTTTTTTTTTAATTTTTAAGCCATTTTTCTCTATTCTTTATTCTTTTTGGCCATTATTCTCTATTCTATTTTTCTCTATTCTTTATTCTTTTTGGCCATTATTCTCTATTCTATATTTTTTTTTATAATTTTTCTCTATTCTTTATTTTTCTGCCCATTATTCTCTATTATGTAAACCCCCATCCACACCCTCATAAACGACTGGTTTGAAATTGAATAATGTAGTATGTGTAAACAAGAAAAACATATTATATTTCATCCCTTAAGATAGTCAAAACTGGCATGTCTGTGATATACATAGAGGAGATACAACCAATAAACAAAAATCTGTGACCTAAACAATAATTTTAAAGTAATGTATGTCAATAATGACAAAACATACATATAATTGGAAAGCCATATGAAATAATATTGGCATACAATGTTATAAATAGGAAACAGAAAAAACATCATATTCTGGAAATATGAAAGACAACATCAAATATAATCATACTTGTCAATTACTTAATTATTCTAATAAAAAAACATTTGTATTATTCCTAGACAATTAAGCTAGATCATCAAATACATTGAGAAGCCAACTAAGTGATTTTCATTACACAGTTGATATTAATTGTTGAAAGTTGAATTTCTCCCATATTTATTTTTCATATTTCTAATTTCTATCAATTAATTTTACCCAGCAGGACTTTCAAAATAAATCTGACAGAACTAAATTTTAGTCAAAACATCATCTGTAAATTTTTCTCGAAAAAAAAAACCCTATTTTACTTGGGGTTATATCTATATTATATGGAGAGTAACAGTACCTCTGTGGGTCAATTTAAAATGTCGATGACTGGATTGTTAATGCAAAGACTAACAAATATTCAGCACAAATTTGATTCAAAATGGCCGAAGGATTTAAGAAAACAAAGTTTTTCTGAAAAGTTCTAGATGACAAAATCAACCAATTAAATATGGCAAATTTATTTTATGATGTATACCAGGGTAAGTGGTAAGTACTTCGTCCTTTTAACTGTTTGTTTTTTAATGTTTATATACATTTTTTTCTCAAGTTCAAAACAATGCAGTATCTCATACAATCACAATGTTTGAAAACAAATGACAAGTAAGTTAAAAAAAATCCTTATGGAGTTACATTATATGTATTACTAACAATATCCAATCTGAATATCATAAAGGAAAAAGATGAAATGTCAATATATTCATGAAAGAAAGTCATGTATTGTTACCTGAACACAAACATGAACCTAGTTTTAACAGTTATCAACAGCTGACAAAGTCATGGCAATAGTCAATTTCTTATTAAAACAGAGTTCTGTAAATCAGATTTAAATGAGTAGTATCATTTCAAGTGTATCCATAGATTGTGTTCAGTTATAATTTCATATATAACAAACTAACAAAATCATTAAGATAATTTTAAGTACATTTATGTCAATATAAGGAAACAAATCCTGTGCTCCTGCACAGGTAAACAAAAATATACATATATATAATTCATTTATCAGACACATAAGCATTCACTACAATTCAACAAATATCATTGTAACGTCATCAATTATTTATATGAAATAATCATTATATAATAAAATAACAACAAAAAAGAAAATTTAACATAAACTGGATTAACAGAATATGAACAATATAAAACAAAGAACACACACAAAATGCTGTGTATAGAACACACAAAAAATGGTGTGTATAGATCACATTGTTGTAGTATTGATAACCATATCCCACATTACTAGCAGCTACATATATAATTGGATATCATTTTCTTCTGAAAATAAATTCACATGATCACTTGATAGATTGATGGATTGGTGTTTAATGCCACTTTCAGCACTATTGCGCTATTTTGTGGCAGTCAGTTTTTATTGGTGGAGGAAGCCGGAGTGCCCGGAGAGATATCCACTGATTTTCAGTAGGAAAACTTGATAAAAAATTCCTAAACAATACTGAATATTTCTGTACATTTAATTAAATTTTCTATTATTTTGTATAATTTCATAGCTGTCAACTTATTTGATAAGGAAACCACAGTTCTCTTTCCAGACCAATTATTAAAACTAAATAATTTGAAAAGCAAAATATAATGTGCCTAGTACAGAAATAAAGATATTGATTTTTACTTTTTTATATCAAATGATCATTTCTTTGAATGAACAAAGTGACATAAGACCAAAGTTTTGCTAAATGGTTTGGGGAAGTTGTACATGTAAATATTATGAAGTTACCTATATCATTCAGCTATCGACACCGAAATAAAATAGGTGTTTTTACAAGTGTTTTACACTTCAGCTATTGCGTAATCAGTTCAATTCTGTTTGTTACTTTTGTTTGGCACCTCCTTCTTACAGTAAAACATATGAAATTAAGTACAAAATATGATTATACAACTTTCAAAGAAAAACAAAACAACAATGCACCGATATTTTGATTTATTTTTTTTACCCATTTATAGGTATGCATCGTGGTGTTAAACTGGCAATAAAGGTTTAATATTTCTTAAATAATCTTGTTTAATTTTTTTAAGTTTAAGGGGGAAAAATAATTACCCACTTTTTTTCAAAATCAAAAGAGGCAATGCACTGTCTAGTAAAATCCTGATTGGCAATCTTTCTGTAAAAACCCTTGAAACAATTATAAAAAGACACATCTTTGATGAAATATCTTGTTGATTGGTATTCATCAAAAAGATTCATGAATATTAGGGCTGTCATTTTGTTATAATTGGATAAACTTAAATCAATACTGGATATGATCCACATAGAATTATGCCCCATGCATACAGGTAAACAATCTGAGCAATTACATTTTTGAGGAAGTCATCGAAAAATTATAAATAAATTCAAGTTAACATTAGATAAATCAAAAACAAATATCTTTCACTTTGTCAGAATAGGTATAGAAAAGTCCCAACTTTTAAGGTAATCTATTCATTAACATCAGATCTTTCACTTTGTTCCATTAGATCTGGTTGTCAATCTTGTAAGATTTGTAATACATCCCGTAAGGGGTCATATTTGGATGACCTTTTATGAAGTTTTAAATCAAACCAATAATTTCAAGTGACATACTGTCACTTTGAAAATATTTTTTCGCTACAAACTTAGATTAAGCCATTTGATCAAAATTTCTACGTTTTAATGATTACATTTTTTTATCAACTTACGATTTCTAATCTAAAACATAAATATAATAATGAAACATTATAGTTTCGGTGACATGTGGAATGTTCACAATTGAGTTGATGCATTAAATCAGAATCATGTCAGGACATCGGACATCATCTACTTTGAACATCCAACTCTCTCGACTATTTTAAAAATAATTTGCAGTTAATGCCACAACATTTTTTAACTGTCTATAGCAAAAAATATTGAAAATTTTTGTAGGCTTAGACATGATTGGATGCTAAAAGGTCACCGAACATGACCCTTGATGGGATATCTTCAGATTTTAATGAGTGACAAACAAATCTAGCTGAGCAAAGTGAAAAATAATGAGCTTGACCTATTTATGTTAGCAATAATTTCATCAAATTGAGAAGAAAGAATAATCAAAAAACAAATTTTGCCAGTTTAGCAGTTTTCATTTTTTACAAAATGCATAATTAGTAATTAATACTGTTTTTAACCAATCAAGCTTTTAGAGACTGCCTTGGATAACCACCTTTGATTGGTATATCGTCTTCATCATCTGCGTCATCCTCGTCAGATTTAGGTAAGAGTTTATATTTACCATCCTGTGTCTGACGTTTTGACGTAAGTTCGTAAATTAAGAAGACTAGACCACCAATTATTGCTGCTGCAATCAAACATATAACAGCGACAACAATTATCATGATTGTTTGTCTATTGCCTGCCATTAAATCAAGATTTTCTCCTTTTTGTGCATTAAGTAAACACTTTTCTGAAAAGAAAATAACATCAGAATAAGAGATTGTGTGTCAAACATTTTAGACATCTTCTAAAAAATAAGCTTTATTTGGAATTTTCAAATTTGTTTAGTTAATTTTTATTACCCCATGGAAAAAAATTCTATTATCCGTATCAGAACAACTAAACAAACAAGGATTACAGCTTTTCTATAAAAGCATGCAAAGCAAACCTTTGATCAACTTGCTTGCTATGTTTGTTTGGATGTTTGTAAACAACAGGTAGGTAGTCTATTTCAGTCTGTTTACTATATACTGGAATTTGATTGTCCAATAAACATAAACTTCATTTAAATGTTAAGTTTCACATTGTATGTCAATTTTTATTGTCCAATCAAATACCAGTATATATTAAACAGACTGAAACTCCTCCTACCCTTTTGTTTACAAACATCCAAGTAAACATAGCAAGCAAGTCGATCAAAGGTTTGCTTTGCATGCTTTTATAAAAAAAGCTGTAAAAGAAAGAAGTCTTAAGTTTTCTTGGTTGTTAGGTGAACCATGAATCTTATATTAGCTACATGAATTGTGAATATCTAAACTAACAGGTTGAGATGGTTTTTCTATTCATTTACTACCTTTCCCGTGAATTGATTACCTAGTTACCACAAGTAGAACTTGCTCAATTATGATACCCTGCTTTAAGTTTTCAGTTAACAGGAAGTTGAAGAGCAATCAATATACATGAAAACACATCACATGATACAACATGCCTGATAACAAATTTCAGATATCCCTGCAGTTTCCTAGGAAAATTTCATCTGTGGCCTATATGTGTTAGAATGTATAAGTAATTCAGAAAAAGCACATCAAACCATAAAGCATGTTTACATAAGCCTGATTACACAAATTTTGAAAAGCACTTATTTGTAGTTCCCTAGAAAACTGCAATATAATATACAGACATGGCCATTAAATGTTAGAATATATAAGTATACAGTAAACAGGAAGTTGTCGAGCAATGAATCTAGAACAGCTTTACACGGTCAAAAATGTTCACATGAAGCCTGATAAAAAAAATTCAGGAAACTCTTATTTGTAGTTCCTAGAAAAATGTGACAGAAATACATGGCAATTTGGTGTTAGAATATACATGTATAAGTAGTTGATGAGCGATGAATCTGAAATCACAGTAAATCATATTAACATGAGGCCTTATTACAAATTTCAGGAAGCTCTTATCTATAGATACTGAAAAATGTGATGGAAATTTCATGGGACTGACTGACAGACAGGGGTAAAACAGTATCCCTAATTCAGAACAGGGGTTCAGAGCAGGGGTTTTATTTATTGTTAATCTTTCAAAAGTTAGTAAAGAAAGGATATAATTATGTGTATTGATTTTATGGTTCATCTAACAAACCAGAAAATTTAACTTATTTTTTGTACGCACTCAAGTATACATACTGGGATTTTAAAGACAAAATACTTAATTCATTAGTTCAATTATACCTAAGGGCTATTCATGGAAAAAACGTAAATGGAAAAAAGGGGTTGGACAGCACTTTTTTTGTACCCCACCATTCATATCTTATATTTTCATTTGTAACATCAACAATTGGTGAACAATATCAAATTATACACAATATATAAAGTACATAAAGGTCAATTATGACAAGATTGATTGTTATTTTTTTAACATCCAGTGGATAATATTTCATGCATATTCAGTGCAAAAATGATTATAAGTTATGAAAAGTGACAGATTCCCAATGAAATCAAAATCTACATCGTACAGCATAATCTTGTGGAATTTGTGAAATTCAAGTATAGTTTTGTTTTATATGAAACTAGCAAATTTATATGACAGACAGACTGAAGTGTAGCTACTAACTGTATACATGATGACCAAAATTGACCTCTAAAGCAATCAGAGAAATGTATGCTAAAAAGACACATGAAACATGACATACAAGTTGACATATAAGATGACATACAAGATTATACAATACCCATTGTCTGAATATACCATATATGAATGTTACACTAGCAAATAAAACATGAAGATGTCAATATAACATACAGGCAAAACTTGCATAATCTACAAAAAAATTATCCATAAAACCATGTGTTATTTACTTTTAAATTGCAATATATTACCCTGACTGACAAATATCTATGCTCATTTCAATTCATTAATAGTTCAGATACAATTGCTAGCAATTTAGTTTGAACAAAAATGAGATTCAGAATAAAAAAAGAAACACTTAAAAATGTTATGACATTCAAAAGTTTCTTTGTCATGGTTTTAGGAGACCAGGCATTTTCTTTAAATACATTTTGGTCAATAAATACTTTAAAAATATCAATATTTACAGCTAAATTATTTGAGTATTGAGTTGGTGTAATATTGAATTTTAAGTTTCCTTTATCATTTACGGATCCATGAATTCTTTATTAGCTGTTAACACAAGAGTGCAAACGCTGAAATGTCTCGCCTTCTTTACTAAGCATTGATTTTATGTTGATAGTCCTAAATATAAAGCTTTACTACAAGTAACACATAAACTTAACATGATCCAAGAAAATGAGATCAAGGTCAGATAAACCAAACGAGAAATACATGTACACCTTACAATGATTCAATAAACCAAACATAGTTGACCTATTGCTTATAGTTTCTAAGAAACAGTTTTAACCAAGAAAACTTAACATTGACCAATGAACCATGAAAATGAGGTCAAGGTCAGATGCACCATGCCAGACAGACATGTACACCTTACAATCAATGTATGCATTAAATATAGTTGACCTATTGCTTATAGTATCTAAGAAACAAACTTAACCATGAAAACTTAACATTGACCAATGAACCATGAAAATGAGGTCAAGGTCAGATGATACCTGCCAGACAGACACATACACCTTACAATCCTTCCATACAACAAATATAGTTGATCTATTGCTTATAGTTGAAGAAAAAAATACCAAAACACAAAAACTTAACACTGAGAAATGAACAGTGAAAATGAGGTCAAGGTCAAATAAAACCTGCGAGACTGACATGTACATCATAAAATATTTCCATACACCAAATATAGTTGACCTATTGCATAAAGTATTAGAAAAAAAGACCAAAACTCAAAAACTTAACTTTGACCACTAAACCATGAAAATGAGGTCAAGGTCAGATGACACCTACCAGTTGGACAGTAGACCTACTGCTTATAGTATCTGATATATGGACTTGACCACAAAAACTTAACCTTGTTCACTGATCCATGAAATGAGGTCGATGTCAAATGAAAATTGTATGACGACATGAGGACCTTGCAAGGTACAAACATACTAAATACAGTTATCCTATTACTCATAATAAGAAAGAAATTAACATTACAGAAAATGTTGACTTTTTTTCAAGTAGTCACTGAACCATGAAGATGAGGTCAAGGACAATGGACATATGACAGATGGAAATTTCGTAACATAAGGCATCTATATACAAAGAATGAAGCATCCAGGTCTTCTAGCTTCTAAGAAGTTAGCTAACACCGCCGCCGCCGTATCACTTTCCTTATGTCGAGCTTTCTGCGACAAAAGGTGCAGGCTCGACAAAAAACTGCAAAAACTGGTTCTATTAGCATTTTTTTTGGTTTTTCTCTTTTATAATTTGATTGCTTTTACTCTTTAAAAAGGTACTAAACAAATTCATGGTTTATTGAACATACACAGCTTACTTAACTTTACTGTTCTTTGTATATATAAAAATATATGAGCTGTAATGTCAAATTATGCTATGATAAATAATCATCATCACTTTGTACTGGTTCATATTTAACAGTAGAACTCCATGGCAACAATGAAAGTGGTGATTGATTATTTTTTCTAATGGTGAAAAAAAGAAAAACAACGAGAAAGACAATTATAATGGCGATTACAATCACACTAATTGTCAATATCACAGCTGCTTGAGAGATTGCTTTCTCTTTCAAAGATGTCTGTTCATTTAATAGACATTTTTCTGAAAGTAAAAGATGCAAGTTTCATGTTAACTTTTTATGACAAAAAAATAAGTCTTTGTCTGTCTGTCCAGCCATATACATTTTGGTAGTTTCATGTAAAACTAAACTTTGCTTCAATTGCATGCATGTCACAAAAGTCACAAGATTTTGCTGTTCTAGATTTTGATTTCATTGGGAATCTGTCACTTTTCAATATTTATTAAGTAATTTTAAGGCATCTATATGTCAATTCAAGATTCTAGAATCTAAAGCATTCTTGGTAATTCTTTCAAAAGCCTGCACCAAATCATTATGATTGGCTAACAACATCCTAGCAATTGAAATTCAACCAATGACATGATGTTATTTTTATTTGAAGTACAAACAATGAAATTACCAAAAGTGCTCTAGATTCTTAAATACTGTGGATTCATTTATTTTAGTGGGTACCAATTTTCATGGATTGAGGGAAATTGTATTTTCATGGATATTTGACTTCATGGTTTGCAAAAGACCACAAGCCTATTGAAGATTTGAACTTTGTTGGTTCACCTTTACTCATGAAATCCAGGAAAATTGGTATCCCACGAATAATAATGAATCCACAGTAGGCCATTGTGATAACATGTTTATGGTGATGTGCAAGTATATATAAACATTAGAAAGTGATATTAAGAACCTGATGATTAAAATGACAAGACTGAGTATTTAACGGTGACAAACACAATAGAGGAAATTGGCATGATAGCTATAGATTATACTCCTGCACCAAGTTTGATACGATATTTCACCATCTTAGCCAGTTAGTTTTTCTTTTTTTTTTTAAATGCAAGCCTGCAAAGTGTTATGTATTTGGTATCACAAATATAAAGTGATGGAATCTGTTTCTCTAACGATATTAAGACAGTATACAGGTAAAATTTGCTTTTAAATTATGTTTTAGTTTTCATTTTTTGTGAGGCATTGTCAGGAATGGCAACCTTCTAATGTGACGTCAAAATAGCATATCAGAGGAAGGTTACAAAAAATTAAACCTCGTAATTGAATTAGGACCTATGAAGAGCCGAAAATAACCGAAATTACATAATAAATAATAACCAACTGAACTGGAAAAAGATAAATCTGTTAAAACTTAGAGAAACAAATTCCTTTTATAGCCCCATCCATAAAATGCTGCATTTTAAACAGAGAAGCTGGTGACTAGCAAGTGTCTAGATAAAAGTCAGCTAGCAGTTGTATTTATGTTTACCTTTTTGAATATCACAGTTACAACATGAGCCAGAGGGTTGCTTCCCTTGCTCACAGCATAGTAAACAGGCATGTAGATATGAACTGAAAGCCCTTGGAGATTTACATGACGTACACCCTTGAGATCCACTACGTTCACATGTCTCGCATGTATAGTGACATTTTGAACATTCCTGAAAGCAAAATTTATATATTAAAAAATGAAGTTTATTCATTGCATTACATTAAACAACAGTCTTGCTCTTTGTAATGTTTTTCAAATACGTTCCAAAATTAAAGCAACTTTGTTAAAATGGTAGGGTAATTTGACATATTTTGGCTAAAATATTATAAAACTGAGACAACTTTTACTGAATAAGAATTAAAAGAAAAAAAAGAAAGTTTTGGCAAGAATTTGGTTTCTTTGAGCATACCTTTTTTGGCAGTGACTAAAATTTTTCAAACATCTCTTACATGTATAAACAATATTCCACTTTCAAAATGATACATTGACCTTAAGATGTCTTTTTGTTATTAGTATCATTGGGTTGCTGTCTTATGGACAGATACCCCACATCTAAATCGATTCATGAGTAGTCTGCATTAGTTTTTTATCTCTTTTTTTGAACAAAGAAAAACGGAATGTGAACATACCATTAATTTAAAATCAAAATAAGTGAACATACCCTTAACTTAAAATCAAAATAAGTGAACATACCCTTAACTTAAAATCAGAATAAGTGAACATACCCTTAACTTAAAATCAGAATAAGTGAACATACCCTTAATTTAAAATCAAAATAAGTGAACATACCATTAATGTAAAATCAAAATAAAATTCTTCTCCACATTGTTTATTCCTGACACAACCTTCTAGAGTCCTAGAAAATCCATTTTCACAAGTTTTACAATCATCTGAAACATAATAAAAGAAAGATAATGTATTTCAGCCATTATACTGTGAATGTTTCATGGACCATAATCTTAAACTATACATGCTATTCATGCTATTAGAATAGTAATATTTAAAGGACAAAAACAGCAATACTAAAATGTTTCAAATTACACAAACTTTTTCACACAAAAAAAACAAAGAAAAAATAACCTCAATTCAATCTCAATCCCAATTGCAGAAAACAAAGATTTACATAAAATATTTTAAGCAAATACAAATTTGCCTTTTTATCAAATTTTAAAATATATAACGTACCTGGCTGACATTTTCTACATTCTCTTTTAAATTGATTATCTGATGTTGTCACAATATACTGTAGGTAACCAGATGGACAGGACTCCAGACATTTCTTGTTGTACATAATCCTGAAAAAAAATATTGTAAACATAAAAAAACTATATTACACAACCTCTTTGTGCAAGTTCTTTTGAAATGTTAACATTTTAAAAGATGATGACCTAAAGTGAAGTAATTGCTCAAAATTAGAACAAAAAAAGAAAAGAGTAAAGAAAAGATATTGAAATTTTGTCTTTTATATTTTTAGAAATGTAAATTAATGTTGCCATATTGTTTTTTTGTTGTTTTAAATGTAAATCTTGATGATGATCAGTTGGCTCATGGAGCAAGTCTGTTAATGAATACAAGTGCTAAGATTGATTTTTTTGAACAAATGAGTTAATATTCATATCAACACAAATCTGACCTTTGACAAAGAGACTCACATGTTGATTCATTATTATTCGTGGGTACCAGTTTTTATGGAGTTTGGTGGGTAAAGGTTAACTACCAATTCAAAAGTTCAATGAAGTACAAATGTACTAAAGGCTAGTATGCAGACTTTGACAAAAATCACAAAATCAAATGAAATATCTACAAAAATACAATTTTTCCTCTATCCATGGAAATTGGTATCCATTGAAAAAAATTAATCCACAGTACTCTATTCTGATACATAAGACAGTTGTAAATGTTGTTATTTTCAGATCTAATAATTTCAAGATCCACGTTTTCTACTTACTATACTATTGATAATACAAATGTTAACCAATTTTCTTGAAATTTGACAGTTCAATGTGATTGTGACCTTGATCTATTCAAACAGGCATTAGCAATTGAAATTCATATCACTTTTCAGAAGCAGTTACTAAAGATGAATTTAGATTTACCACTGCACCACTTGGCAATTTCCTTTCAACATCCAATACAATTGTTCATAAAATTTGAAATTTAAGTAGAATGTAAAAGAATCTGTGAGTAACATTCTCGTTAAATTTTACAAAGCTTTAATTTCATGAAGACAACCGTTGTAATTGACATGGACAACCATTGTAATTGACAAAGACAACTGTTGTAATTGACAAAGACAACCGTTGTAATTGACATGGACAACCATTGTAATTGACATGGACAACCGTTGTAATTGACATAGACAACCGTTGTAATTGACAAAGACAACCGTTGTAATTGACATAGACAACCGTTGTAATTGACAAAGACAACCGTTGTAATTGACATAGACAACCGTTGTAATTGACAAAGACAACCGTTGTAATTGACAAAGACAACCGTTGTAATTGACATAGACAACCGTTGTAATTGACATAGACAACCGTTGTAATTGACATAGACAACCGTTGTAATTGACATAGACAACCGTTGTAATTGACAGACAACTATTGTAATTGACATAGACAACCGTTGTAATTGACAAAGACAACCGTTGTAATTGACAAAGACAACCGTTGTAATTGACATAGACAACCGTTGTAATTGACAAAGACAACCGTTGTAATTGACATAGACAACCGTTGTAATTGACATAGACAACCGTTGTAATTGACATAGACAACCGTTATAATTGACAAAGACAACCGTTGTAATTGACATAGACAACTGTTGTAATTGACATAGACAACCGTTGTAATTGACATAGACAACCGTTGTAATTGACAAAGACAACCGTTGTAATTGACAAAGACAACCGTTGTAATTGACATAGACAACCGTTGTAATTGACAAAGACAAAGTTGTTTACATCCTTGTTGTATTGTTGGTGGTTGTCTCATTGACAGAGGAGACCAAACAGGGAGACTGCCATCAGGTAGAAATTTAGGATCACAAGAATGCGTTTCACATGATAAAGGAGAAAGTCCGGTAAGGGCTAGTTTTGGCCTAAAATTTGAAGAAAAATCTGATGAAAGATTTTTGACATTTTTTAAACACTCAAGTGTCTACATCAGTCGATTCAATTAGTTTCTGTAAAAGATCTGAACTGATTTGGTCATTAAAGATGCTCAAATTCAAGCTTGAATGTGAAAAATCTATCAAATATGCCATAAAACGTCACTTTTCCTCTGGTTTGTGTCTTAAATGGAAGTGGCCACATTTGTGTTCAGTCTCAACCTTTATGTATGTGATGTATTATCATCAAAAACAACACATATTTGAATATTAAGACTGAACACAAATGTGGCCACTTCCATTTTAGTCGAAGACCGTTTTATAATAAACACGAATGCTACAATTGTGAAGATTTCAGTATCAGCCATTGTATTGTCAAAAACAGTCCATATTTATGGAACAAAAGTATTCTTCTTTCCGATAGATAGCTGAAAGTTTACATTTCCAAAAATTTGTAAGAATGCTATATTTTGGGGCCAAAAAGGGGTCTTACAGGGCCTACTCCTTTGAGAATGAAATAAAATTGAGAATGGAAATGGGGAATGTGTCAAAGAGACAACAACCCGACCATAGAGCAGACAACAGCCGAAGGCCACCAATGGGTCTTCAATGCAGCAAGAAACTCCCACACCCAGAGGCGTCCTTCAGCTGGCCCCTAAACAAATATTTATACTAGTTCAGTGATAACGGATGTCATAAGTCTGTATACCTATTATTTTCACGATATTTTCAAAGTCCAAAGCCCATAATTTTGGCAAAGATCAGCAGAGCAGGAGCAAACATGAACTTGATACGAAACTCACCATAGTAGACTCACATACTAAAATTCAGCACAATATGTGAAGGCATTAAGAAAAAAATCTGTATAACTGTTATTTTCACAAAATTTTCATGGTTCAAAGCCCATAATTTTGGCAACAATCAGCAGAGTGGAACTAAACGTGAACTTGATCTGTAACTCATCATATTAGACTCACATACTAAAAATCAGCTCAAAATGTGAAGGTGTTTAGAAAAAAAGTCTGTATAATTGTTCGTTGTGGAATGACGGATTAGGGTAATACTATATGGCTCCGACCACTTTGTGGCAGGGCCATAATAAATAACAATGTGTAAAATTGTTATTATGCTTCATCAAATTAAACCAGTTATAGTCAGACATGAATTAAAAAAATTAATGCACAAAGTTCCATAACTCTGTAATGGCAACAGTCAAAATTGAAAATAAACTCAAGGTAGTTTGTCTTTAAGGAACTAATCTTTTTTAAATATAACAACTGGTTAAGAAACCTTTGGATAACATGTGCATCTCTAGAATAAAGATAAACAGACGGATGAACATTAATATACCGTAAATTGGGAAATTTTGGCGTCGGGATATTTTGGCAGTTTTCACTCGAAAGGCATGTGTTTTATTTTGGTGTGTGTAATTTTGGTGCTTCGTCCAATTGATGTGTTTAATTTTGTGTGAGCTTATTCATATTTGCCCTTATTTACTCGTTTACATCTATTGACAAAATATCAATGACCTACACAAACTAGAAACTAGAAACAGGACAAAGTTAACTAAATGAAGGAATCGGATACGAATGCAATTGCAAATTATTCCGTATCTCGAGTTGAAAGCTAAAAGAAAGTGATTTTAAATAGATTATTTATTTTTTACAAAAATCAAATGAAATAAATTTTAATCATTATCTCTATTGCAGTACATGTTAATGATTGAAGATCAAGGATTTAAATTTTAATCCTTATGCCTCTGGCAGTACATATTAATTAATAGAAGATAAATTAATACAAGGAGTTTTGATATTCTAATTACCAATAACGGCATCTAATCAGCAATAGCCTGGCATATTAATGACATGTGTGAATACAAATTCATATTGTGTTTTCTTCACAATTTCAGAAAAAAAACCATATATAGTGTTGTCAAATTATACCCCGTATTTATTTGCAGATTTGGCTATGTATAGAATTATAGGAAATATACGAAAGATATAATAGCATAAGATATTTTCCCCAACAATTAACATTACAATATCGTCGTACCGGTTCGCGATTTTGGCGTTTCAATTTTGAGTGTTTGCTTTATTTTCGTGTGTTTAATTTTGGCACTTTCATTGGAGGCACCAAATAAATCAAAATAAAACTACAACCAAAATAACCCAATTTACGGTACCATAATATTTGCAGTCAATGACAGGATATAAAAGCATTTGATGCAATAGAATTTGGAGGAAAACAAATAATTTTCATCTTTTTTTGTCATTTCTTGTATCAATGTTAAATAAACTGTTAACACAGAGATATGTATCGTCTATTTGTTATTTTGATAATGCAAATGTTGAAATTAAAATGGCAATACTTTAACATGTAAGTTATGCAAATATTCAAAGTCAATGAACCATGACTGAAGGTACAGGGGTAAACAATCTCCATGGAAATGAGATGTGCCAATGCTAATACAACTGCATATCAAATACCAAAGACTTTTCATAAGTCGTTCCCTTTAAACAAACCTAAACACAAACATTAACTTGTAAACTTTGTAAAAGTTTCAAAGTCAATGAACCATAATGAGGGGTGGGGTTATATAATCTCCATGGAAATAAAACTTGCAAATCAAATATCATTAACTTAACATTAGTGGTTCATCTTAAACTGACCTAATCACAAACTAATACATGAAAATTAAGCAAAAGTTTCAAAGTAAATAGACCATGACTGAGGGCTAAGGACCAAATATTCTCCATGGAAATGAGATGTGATAATGCTTATACAACTGCATACCAATTATCACTGACCTACCACTAATGGTTCCCCATAAACTGACCTAATCACAAACTAATACATGTAAACTAAGCAAAGTTTCAAGGTCAATAGACCATGACTGAGGGGCAGGGCCAAATAATCTCCATGGTAATGAGATGTGCCAATGCTAATACAACTGCATACCAAATATCATTGACCTACCTCTAGTGGTTCACCATAAACTAGACCTAATCACAAACAAATACATTGTGGCCCTTTATAGCTTGCTGTTCGGTGTGAGCCAAGGCTCCGTGTTGATGACCGTACTTTGACCTATAATAGTTTACTTCTACAAATTATGACTTGGATGGAGAGTTGTCTCATTGGCACTCATACCACATCTTCTTATATCTAATTGATGCTGACAACAGCATACCTATGTATCGCTTTCTGACTCCATCAAGGCAAGACAAAAAGGCAATAAATGACACATTATATATAACTAATTTTAATATTTCATTGAGATTTTGCAGATATTGCAAAATATCTGTCTCGTTCAATCATGGAGGTTCATATCCAGGTGGCAGTCCAATAGATTCCAAACACTCATGGCGTAACTTCCATTCTTCTAGTTGCATAATTTTTATGTTGATATGATGGTATTCTTTGAGAAGTTCCAAGTACGGATCTAAAGTCAAGTTTTCAACTGTCACTCCTGCATTCTCCTCAGACTCCTCGGAAGAACCCAGCTTCAGCTCTGAAAATTCGTCAGAGTGTTCTGATTCAGAGGAATTATCCCTTTCTTCTACAGGACTGGAATAGAAAAAAAAAAAAAACTTTAATGCCTGCTTATTTCATACTAGAACCTGGTATTATTTTCCAAAATATAATTTTAAAATAAAAATTTTGGCAAGGTTTTAATTGAAATTGGTGTTTATGATCATTTCATCCTGAATTCCTCTGACAGTTGAAAGTTTCAAAAGATGATCAAATCATATTTTTCTTACTAAGTTAAATAAAAGTTATATTCATTCATGCCTTTTAGTACATGCTGTTATAGACATGCAGATCAACATTCCTCTGATACATTCAAGGTTTCCTTTCATTAACACAAGTTGTTTTACCAAACATTTTCTCCTTATAAATCCATGATACATGAATTCTTTTAGTTTTCACTTTATCCATCCATCTTTTTCGTCAGTCTATCTATTCATCTACAACTGTTGTGAGCTCAAATTTTCCTACACTGTATTTTGCAATGGACTTAACTTTTCAGATATAAACAATATTATGCAGAAAGCCGTATCAAATGTTCATGTAAAAAGGAAATAGACTTTGATGCCAAGCTTTAAGAATGAAAGTATGCTTTTTGGCTGCAAATCTCCAACAGTAAAATGATACTGAACACACTTTGAGGGTTGAAGAAAAATCGAATTTCATTTATATTTGATTTCATGGATTTGCAAAAATGTCTGAAAACTTAAATTTATACAAAAAAATCTAAAATTATGGGAATTAGTTTTAGAGAGTTCATTCTCTTACAATATTCCTTTGAAAAAGATTATATTAATTTTACACAATTATTAAGCATCATATTTTCCTGCACAAAATTTTTTTTAACAAAAAGAAAATAATGGTTATAAGATAAAGCAAGTTTGAGTTATTCGGAAGTCAAATAATGGGTCTACCCACTAATCATGTTTTACCAAGATGGGGTCATCCTGACATGCAAGTTTTACTTTTATAGTTGAATTTCAATCATCCTCTTATATTCCTATCATAAGTATATCTTATTCCCGTTTGAATGGTTTTACACTAGTAATTTTTTTGAGGCCCTTTATAGCTTACTGTTCAGTGTGAGCCAAGGCTCCGTGTTGAAGACTGTACTGTGACCTATAATGGTTTACTTTTATAAATTTTGACTTGGATGGAGAGTTGTCTCATTGGCACTCATACCACATCTTCTTATATCTACTTGTTCCTTTTTGGAAGCCTCAAGTACAAGTTTGAACTCAAAAAGAAGTATTCAACAATCTCTCTAGGTGTAGGCTAATGGTTACTTTTTTTCTGTTTTTAAAAAAAATATTAACATTTCAACATATCTATAATCAATCATGCATTCACTAAAACACATATCTAACATAGCTTACCTTGTTCATCTGTTCCTTCTTCAATACAAAACCGTTCACGAAGACATCATGCGTGGATAAATATGACATTACTCTCTGTGCTGAGATTTGAGTATAGAGTGAACATAAATATTTCATGTAGGATAGACTTATTGTTAGTAGATACCAATACATTGTAGTATTATTCACAATACTGTACATTTTAAGCTTATTTTTAAAAATATTTTCACACTTCTTTTTAATAACTTAAATTAATGCTAATCCACAATTATTTAAAACTAAATATGTAAAAGTTCCTCAATATTTCCTGACAGATAATTTCATTAAGTTTAAGCAAGATCCTGAACATTTTTTTAAAAGAAATTTTGCAATTCCAAAATCTGTATTTTCCTCAATTTTACAAATTGCTATTTTATAACTTTTTCAGCTAAAGTGGTATAATTCCGTAATGTAGTGAGTTTACCATTTGTGTTGGCATTCTGTACAGAGATTGTCACTGATACACTCCACACATCCAGCAGGACATTTCTGACAATGATTGTTGGAATCTTTATATTCTCCTGTTAAATAATAATGAAAATATATTTATTTCTAAGAAATTTCAAAATAATGAACCACTTACACCACCTTTTAAGTCATGTTTTATACATAATTATTGCAGGGTTTCCCCTGGGTCAATTTTTTCTCTCTCGCCACCTCACTCCCCAATACAATATATTTTTCGCCAACTTATATTAACATATTTTTCGTTAAAAATTTCTTTCTTTTTAACAGAAAAAAAAAAAAGTTTATCATATACTTCCTGTCTCATTGAAGGATCAAGACTTAAATCAAAGATTTTTCTTACTTTTGAATATATTTCTTCATAACTACAGTTTTCTTTTCTGGACCATTGTTAAAAAGAAAAGTCGAGATGTAAAAATATGCTTCAAACACGTGCGTCATTTCTATCAAATTTGTAAATAAATCCTTTAGTTGGCATACATGTGACGCCAATTAACCACACTATTTCATTAAACAATACAATCAACCTCTTTATTAATTAATCCATTGTTGCCGATAGCTATAAAATACAATCAGCTGATTATTGATTTTCTATCAAAATCGTAATGAGCTCAAGGTGAATTCCCAGTATTGTCTGATCAGGGAAAAAGTCAGAAAAACCCCAAAAAAGTAAACAAGATAGACAAAGTCGAACTGTTATATTTCTTTTGCCAATAATAAATTTTTAATCGCCAGCAGAAACCCTGATAATTGTCCTTTTCCTTAAACAGTAAATTTTTAACTTATTTTATAAACTTTCTCTTTGCAGCTTACTGAATTATTTGCAACAAAGAGTGAGCTTGGTTTCTTTTTAAGTTATAAGCTAAAGCTAATGTTATATTATGACAATATCAACTAACCTGAATTACAAATAACTTTTGGCATTTTACATGTGTTGTTATTTAGTATCATTCCTACAGGACATCTGGTGCACATTTCATCATTTACAATACATGTGGCACATGTACTGCTACATTTCTTACATACAGCAACAGATGGATTGTCTAAAATCATAACATGGAGCAAATTAAATAAAGAATTCAATTGCATAACTTAAAATTCTGCAATATAATCAGAAATTATAGGCTCTATATTAAAATACACAAATTGAGTACAAAGAAATCAATGTAATAGTGTAATAGTGCACTTTTATAACAAAGGGTTGCCACTCTTTTTCAGACATTTTCCAAATTCCAGGGTTTTCTAGGGTTTTTCCAGGATTATCAGTAGTTTTTAAGGATAAATACAATTGAGAAATTGTGTTTACTGAACTATTATAAATACAGCAAGTTATTCCCTCTACTGACACTTACTCTACAGGTGCACCTAGTTCATACTCTAGTTTTCAGTGGAGTCCAAATTGCTCATTTGCTTTTGGTTTCCTGTGTGTACATGTTTTTTGGTTGTTCTTGTCTCTTATTCCATGATTTGTCTTTGTTGTTGGACTTTCAAATTATGAAAATTTTATAAGCAGGTTACCATTTAATTCTTGAGAAATTATATTTTTTTAAATTAAATAAAATTGTGTGTGTTATAGTGCCTTTGACATCAGTTTTGCTGTACAGTACCTCCAGATAGAATTACATAGATGAATCATGTGAATGTATTGATAACCTTTTCTATTGTGTTATAGGTAAAATGTCTGTTTTTCTAAACATTTCAGAATTAAACAAAAACTTTATCTTAATAATCTTTTATTATACAACACTGTAAAATTAATTGATACATCCCGTATAATAAACTGTAAAAATAAATACACAACGAAAACAAAAAAACAACAAAATACTAACAAATATCACAAAATCAAAGACTAGATTATCACAAAATAAAATAAAACATTGTGAACATTAACATGTTAATCAAAAATCAAAAGTTGAATCAAGGATTAACATTAATAATTACACATTTTCCAAAGTGGGATACCTTTATAAGTTTGAAAGGAGGTGTGATTGAGTATCATTAAACTTTTTTACTTCTGCAAGTTCAGCTTCTTTATCTCTATTCTTTTTGCAAAGAGAATTTGACGGAGTAATATGGACAACAGATTGCATTGCTCTGCCTTGTCTGCAGCCTTTTCAGCATTTGAATTTAGCAAACAAGATTCCTCAAGACATTTAGCTTTTTTTCTAAGATTCTTCAACTTCCTTTCTTTTTTCACCTTTTCTTTGTCGCTCTTTCTCAACCTTTTACTGATCCAAGTGATCAAAGAACCTTTGTCTTGCTGTTACTGCAGTTACTCTTTTATAACATTCATAAATTGTAAGCCACTATACTCTTCACACTGTCCTTACTGCATTGTTTAGCAATAAGAGACTCTTTTGTCAAATTAGGTCACTCACCTCTTTATTCACTGAAAACCCTCTCTCGACACTGGCTTGCCCATGAGAAAGAAACAAAAGGGTGTGTACAATACACCAAACATTCTTATATCCACTCACATCATGCATCTCGTCATAGAACAAAACATCTACTCTGTCAGTACTTTTACTGAATTCTTTAAACTTCAAACTATCAAGCTCCAAAAAAACTTTCTAAACTTTGTTAATTTCAGCATTGTATAAGCCTATTCCATAACTGATGTCTTTATAAATCTATCCATACAATGTCTTACTAGTTCAGACAAACTTAGCAAGAAAAGGTATTATAGGTTTATCACATTGATATGCAACTAAAAATCTCTCTACCTGGTTTGCTACAGACATAATAAATGATAATTTAGGTCTAATGAAGGAATCTTTTAACATAAGCTTGACTGAATCATATGATTTTGTGCTAGGGTTTTTCACTTTTTTCCTATCAACACCTATAACATATTTCTCTACATTTGGAAGAACCTTTCAATTACTTTTACATTTTCACCTGTACAAACCAAATCAACTGCAAATGCATGCCCTAATAAAATGCTTCGCTGAGCGCAGCCTGATACGACCGCAGAGGATATAACCCTGAACAGTTGGGGCAAATTTGGACACAATATTCAAGCTTGATACTGTCTGAAAAGATCTTATAAATCCATTGCGCAATACTGTGCAAATGAAAATTTCTTCTTGAAACTTTTCAAAAATTCGAAATTTTAAAAATTTGGAAAAAAAATATGTGGATCTCTAAAAAAAATTGGGAAAAAATCACCTCCCCCCCCCCCCCAACTTTTTGAAACCCCCCTTGGAGCAATAACAACAAAACTTAATCCCAGCCTTTCCTTTGTAGTATGGAACCTTGTAGTACAATTTCAGAGAGATCCTTAACCCCAAACTCAATCCCAAGCTTCCCTTTGTTATATGGAACCTTGTGGTACAATGTCAGAGAGATCCTAACACTTACACACAAGTTATTTGTCTGGAAACTACAAAAATTCTTGTTTTTGGCCCCTTTTTGGCCCTCAATTCCTAAACTGTTGGCCCCAATAACCCCTAAAATGAATTCCAACCTTCTACTTGTGGTATTAAACATTGTGGTACAATTTCAGAGCAATCGAAATACTTATTCACAAGTCATTATCCTGAAACTAGAAAAATGCTTGTTTTGGGCCCCTTTTTTACCTAAACGGTTGGGACCATTATCCCCAAAATCAATCCCAACCTTCCTTTTGTGGTATTGAACCTTCGTAAAAAATTTCATAGAGATCCATTTACTTAAACTAAAGTTATTGTCCGGAAACCAATGTGTCTTCGGACGACATCATACCCTTATACGATCCCAAAAAATTTTTTGTGGTCGTAAAAGAGTCTGATGTATAATATCAACTGATAATTTTGTTGTCTTCCCATTGCCTCACCAAAATGTCTAGTTGCTTTTTTTTGCCATTCCTGATTCAAAGATTCATCAAAGAGCAAAACATATGGATCACCCTGAATTTTTCTTTCTAACAACAGTTTAAAATCAGGGGTAACACCAAATACACATTCATACATAGTTTTGGTTTAACCACAGGTAAAATCCTTTGCAATGTCAGTCAACGAGCATTTTTTTAAAAACAAAGCTAATATTTTCATTTGAATTAAATGAGTGATTTGAAACAAATTGTGTTTAAACACCTCCATACTTCTGCTGTTAACATGGCCCTATGGGCAGCTTCTGTAGATGTATCTTTGGTTAAAGTTTGATTAGAATTAGCTGTTATCAAGGAATTTAATGTCCCGTGTGATTGAAAACCTTTTAGTCTGTTGTTGTGCTTTTGTCCTGTGGAATGGAACTTCAAGGCTGAATGACCATAGAAGTTAAGTGAAGAGTTGTGTTACACAATTTACAAAATACTAGATTAGGCTTTCCCTGGACTCTTTGTAGCCAATCTTTGTATTTGGAATCCCACTCATCATGGAAAGTACAAGCCATCTGAAAAAGAAAAGTTTAAAAGGAAAACAAGTTATAAACTCTAGATGCTGTCACTTTGGTGAAAACAATTTTTAACTGATTTCCAAATATTTTTTTTTTGTATTTAATCAATCTGAGTTCAATTTACAATATGTCAATTAAAAAGCCTTAGTAAGCACCCTCACATACCCTATGTGCCAACATATTTGTCACTTACAAGTTACAACAAAATGTTTCTTTAGTATAAATTTCCAAGTTGAAAGGGGCATTACTCCTTCAAAAATTTCCTGTGGATATGGATATCCTCATTTCATCTGCTAAATGTCTGCCAAATGTCATGAAATTCCGATGAGTAGTTTCAGAGGTGTTGCGATGTCAAGAACAGGACTGACTGATAGAGGGACGGAAGGTCAAAAACCCATCGCAACTTTCTTGTGTGGTATAACAATTCATACAGACAGTGTCGCACCTGGTGTTAATTGGTGTTGCTAAATACTCTATAGGATGTACGAATGTACATGCTACATTGTATTAAAGTCAAAAAGATACTTAATAATGGTTTACAAGGGGGAGGGTGGTGCCACACCATATCATATGAGTTAACCCATCATTTCAATTTAAATGCCTGTCCAAAGTCAGAGCCATTGTGGCCAAATCTCTTGCTGTGTCACAACTTACAGAAATTTACACATATTCTGAGCAGTTTAGGAATTACTGATTTTGATCTAAGACTAACCGACCAAGTAAATAATACTTACATTTAAACCCTTATTCAATTACATGTAGTACTAATTCAAGTCTGAATATACATCTGGTAATTCACTGGATTCATCTTCTGATGTTTCCGAATAAACAATTGTTGAACAGTCACTGTCTAACAGATCCATTGTTGCCCATTCAGGGGCATAGTTGTACATATTGTTATAACGTGTAGAGCTAAATCCATGGACAGCATGCTGAATAAAGTGAAGTAGATCATCTCCAAATTCAATTTTAGAATAGTATTCTTCAAAAATGTCAATCCATCAACAGGGGTTACATGTCCATCTCTGTCAGGTTTGGATCATCTATTATGATATTTAAAGCCTGTTGTCGACTTAAATAAAATGTCCTTTCAATTGTTCAAATTTCCAGGATTTTTGCATTTGCAAACTGGTAACAACATTCATTTGATATTAACTCTGTAAATTGTTTCGTCTTAGTTAATGTTCTCTATTAAAAAACAATGCCAACAACATTCTTTGATGAAAGGCATTGAAAATTTATAAAATGTTATTTTCCTTAAATATATTGGAATTAAGAGTAATCCTGTTTGTGGCAAAAGTCTTTAAACCGGTTTGGATCAGCCAAAATTGCATCAGGTGATGACCACCAATCCACCATGCTTTTTTTAAAATTTCCATGCAGTTCTTGCATTGTGGTTGAAATTGAACTTGATAAATAACATTACAAAACATTTCAAGACTGTTTGCATCAAATGTAATCGAGATCAGGATTCACCTCTATCAAGTCGTCCCATTCCTATTGTCCCACGAAATGCGCTCATGAGGATACCAATTTTCGAGGGACAAATCAACGAGCACAAGGGAAGTAATTCAATTTGTTTTTAAACTACGGTATTTAATTTTCAAGGATTTTCTCTGGGTTTTTTCGTGTTTTCCCAGCCTTTTCCCAGCCAGGAGCACCTCAAAATAAAATTCCTAGCTTTTTCACGTTTTTCTTGGTTTGTGGCAACCCTGATTACAAAACTGCACCCAATGTTGTGGTAAGCCCACTTGTAATTCAAAGTATCAGAAAACAATCCTAGTGTGGGGTATAATGAAAAGTGCATTCATTCAATAATGCTGTTCTATTCAAGAAAGTGCTGTTTAGAAAACAGATCGAAATCTTTTTCACCTGATTGTGGCCATTAGTTGAGAACTAAATGGTTGGGGTCATATTTATAACTGTCAAATTCATAAAAAAAACTGTATCTATGTTTCTTTTTCATGCTTAATTACTATTTTAACACTGTAATTAGATCTTTGATTATTGTTTTTATTGGTATAAATATTGATTTTGCTATCAGTAAATTAATTCATACTAAATAGTTTTGTTATACACATATGCACTTTTATTTTGGCATTGCACAAGGTCATTTTTTTCTCTGACTGTTAATGATGTCTTTACACTAAATCCATTGGAAGTTGGATGTTTACTGATTGTTATTTTAGTCTTAGATACATGATTTTTTTTAATTAGTTTTTTAGGCCTTTTATAGCCGACTATACGGTATGGGTTTTTCTCATTGTTGACGGCCGTATGATTGCCTATAACTGCTTACACCACTTTATTTGAACTTAGGTGGATAGTTGTCTCATTGGCAATCATACCTCATCTCCTTATTTTTTTATTAATCCCAAATACCATTTTGGTAATTGACCTTTCAGAATTAGACTTGTCTGGCTAATATGACCTTATCAATGTTTTTTTCTTAACCTTATTCACAAATGTCATTTCGTTAATTGACCTATCAGAATTGGACTTGTCTGGTGAATATTTTCCAGACCCTTGGTTTAGACTGTTAATAAATCATCTGTGTCTTATTTAAATATGTCTCCACAATACATTATGTGTTAAAATATATACCTCTGAAGTAACCCTCAGGACAAGATGTGAGACAGCGGTTTTCTCCCTCAATCATTAAGTAGCCATCTTTACACTTCTCACACAATTCTTTATTAAATACAGTGGAACAAGATTCACAATTAGCATCACATTGTAAACACACTGATTGGAATTCTCTGGTTCCTGTTGGACAGGTCTGTAGACAAGTCCTATCAAAAGAAAATTATTAAATTAAGCAATAAAGAACACAACATTCAAAAATACCACTGTTACTTATAAAGCAAATGTGGGGTATACATCTATGAGACAGCAACCCAAAAACAAAGTTAAAGAAATGCATTATAATCTACAATAATGAGGAATAACTACTTGTATTTTGATTTAAAGCTCCATTTAGTTTGCACTAAATATGAAATATATATTTTTTTATTTTTTTCAATTTTTTGTTCTTTAAACATAATTTGTACTCAAAGAAAAAAAACAATGAACTTAATGCCTTTAGATCAAAATTGTATATATATTTCCAGAAAATGATTTGAAAAGCCAAAAAATTGAAAAACCCTGTTTGTCTAAGAAGCCTTCCACATAAGGCAGATTATATCAAGATTTTGCATTTACTGTCATTCATCTACACCTGACTTCATTTGTTTTAAACTCTCAAAAGAATTTCAGTGCCCTATATATAGATATTGTCCTCAGTCATCAGTCATGCTCTGTTCACATGCATATAAAAGTAAATCCTGAAAACAAAGTAGAGTGTATCATTCATAGATAGATGGATGAGGGAACTGACTAATCCACCAATGGTAGGATGGCCTTAAAGACTCCATACCCCTCTGACAAATAACCAAACAACTGTTTGTATGTGGATTTCTAATGCCAATTTCAGCAACCTTAGCGGTCAACTTTTATGATTTTTGGAAGAAGCTGCATTGCCTGGAGGGAATGACCAACTTTTGGCAAGACTTGTCAATTAAGATTGGAGTTGTATACACTTCACCATGAGCTGGGTTCAAAATCACAACATCAGAGTTAACAGGTTAGTGATCACTACTTAGACCACACAGACATCTTCAAACATCAATACATATGAATACACATACCCACTACTCTCTAACGTGACATGTTTACAGGCTAGTGATCACTACTTAAGACCACACAGCCATCTTCAAACATCAATACATATGAATACACATACCCACTACTCTCTAACGTGACATGTTTACAGGCTAGTGATCACTACTTAAGACCACACAGACATCTTTAAACATCAATACATATGAATACACATACCCACTACTCTCTAACTTGATATGTTTACAGGCTAGTGATCACTACTTAGACCACACAGACATCTTTAAACATCAATACATATGAATACACATACCCACTACTCTCTAACTTGACATGTTTACAGGCTAGTGATCACTACTTAAGACCACACAGACATCTTTAAACATCAATACATATGAATACACATACCCACTACTCTCTAACTTGACATGTTTACAGGCTAGTGATCACTACTTAAGACCACACAGACATCTTTAAACATCAATACATATGAATACACATACCCACTACTCTCTAACTAGATATGTTTACAGGCTAGTGATCACTACTTAAGACCACACAGACATCTTCAAACATCAATACATATGAATACACATACCCACTACTCTCTAACTAGATATGTTTACAGGCTAGTGATCACTACTTAAGACCACACAGACATCTTTAAACATCAATACATATGAATACACATACCCACTACTCTCTAACTAGATATGTTTACAGGCTAGTGATCACTACTTAAGACCACACAGACATCTTCAAACATCAATACATATGAATACACATACCCACTACTCTCTAACTTGACATGTTTACAGGCTAGGCAATCTTCTGGTCCAGTTCCTGTGCAAGACCCACGGCACTCTTCATGACAGTTCTATTGAAAATATTTGAAAATAATTACTATTAACTTTTTGTTTTTAAAACACTCGAAATTTTTTCAAATTATATGTTGTAAAAAATTTATGGTGCAATGCTATGTTTTCTTAATTGATTCTAACAAAGAAATGCGATGTTTTATTTCACATTTAAATTGAAGCTTGATAAAGGTATCTTAAATCTAAGATAATAATGGAGAATTTTCATTCATACATGAAATAATATAAAATTTCATTTATCAACTCTTATTGCTATTAATCTTTATGTAACATCAATATTATATTTCTCAAAATGTTCAAGTTACTGGTATGCTACTGCCAAATTATTTATAATGAAAAATATGTAAGATAGATCTGTAGAGTTACTGATGGTAGTCAAAGTACAATCCGATGATATTAATAATTATAGTATAACTAACTGCCATAATTGAGTATATAATATAAGACAATGTGTGACTGAAAGAGCACAAGTTTAATCCAAGACGACATTCGGCCACAAGTGAGTGGTCTTATTTTTTATATTCAAATATGGTGAATAGTTATACTTTTAATTATATATAAACAGAATATAAAAACTCTTTTCTATGTTACTGGCGTTAATTGGATTATCTTATGTATTGTTGATTTCACTGTACTTTTTGGCGTATGAATATATCAGTATTGCACACAGTTGTCAAAATGGCAGATCGTCACTTCAAGCAGATTGATGTGGATTTTGCAAATTGACATTACTGGTGTGTACTTACTTGTGGAGGTATAGTTGACATGACTGGTGTGGTAGGAGGGGTTGATCTGCCTACATCTGACTTCAAATTAATAGGATTAGACTTGGTGCCATGTAAAACCAAAGACCAGGATGTTAATGTTCCTGAAAAATAATTGAACATTAGCTGAGCTCAATATTGCTGAATACAGCTTTGCATTTATACAGTTATCTAATTTTACATGCAAAATAATCTCCCTTTTTTATTTCATAAGTTCAAAACTATTCAATGGCAATATGTATATTGTGTTTCATTATTTCCATTGTAAAGGCACAGTCACTACATAATTCAATATACGACTATTCAAACAATTCACCTTTAGATGGAAGAAGGAAAGTGGTTTTTTTTTTAATCTCTGCATTGAATAAAATTTGACTTCAATATAATTTGTATTTTTTTATCTTGAAATACCGTCTGTCAGCCTTTGATCATTGAGTTGCAGTGTAGGACAGTAAATACTTGCATGAATACCACTCAATTAAAGTTTTATCTTATACTCAAGTTCCCTTTTTAAGTTATAATTATTTAGGATTAGCCTTATGTAAAACCTTTTTACATACCTTTTAGTAGTGGAGAATTAGCTTCCCAGGCAGAATTTGAACGATGATCATCAATTTCTAATTTCCAAGTTCCTGATGGATTTTCCTCCCAGAACTGAACAGATAAGAATGCCCAGTCTCGGAATCCTCCCTTCATAATATCATTAGGTCTCTGAGGTAGAATTGTTGATTTAGTTCCACTAGGAGATGTTATATGAATGACTGCATTTCCACGGCGATGATAGTTCAAGGTTATCTTAACCTGAACATGTTCAAGGTAGTTAACCTCATTACTAGATCCCTTACATCCATCAGTAGTTATTGAATCTTCATAGTGTGCATTTGTTATTTGTCTGAAAAATTACAATGAAATCCATCTTTTTTTTTCATCATGAAAATATAATTTTTTTGTAGTATTATGTTCATTTTTTTTACCTGCTCTGCCATGGTAGCTAAAACCTAGACAAGTAAATCTAAACTTGATTTTACATTTTTCAAAGATTATTCCATACAGTAGACCTAACTAAATATAGATTAAATTAAATTCTTTTTTGTCTTCTTTATCATAAGATGTTTTTAGTCAAAGACATATTATTTATGGTAAATGGCATGAAACTGTACACTTCAGAAACTTCCGCAAAGGAAATATATTGATTTCCCCTAACATTGAACAATAAATCAATATCTCCTTAATATAATCACCACATACATCATCACATACATCATCACATACTTAAAAGCAAGAACGAGGTTTTAATAGTAATATTTTTCCTATAATTATTTACAACAAAAACAAAGTAATCAAATGCCAGAATTTTAAGATGATTGTTTATTTTTAGTAATTGCTGCTTAATTCAAATATGTTGCTGCATTTTTAAATTTTCAAAATTGACTATTCCCATAACATGAAAATCCACTTTTACTCTTTAAAAGGAAAAACAGTGTTATCAATGGACAAATATGAACTTACACATTTATTTTTGGAGAATTCATGGTACAGATATGTTTCTCTGGTACATTTGTCCATCGTAAGGCATAATCTACCATACCAGTGGCATTCATCAATCCATAACCATATTTCAAACTGACTGAAAGTATAAATCAAAAGTAAAGCATCCATAGGTATGGCACCTTGTTCATCCAATAAAAACAGTATAACCAATAGTGCTGAAATTGGCATTAAACACCAACAATCAATCAATCAATAAAAAATTAAATCACTTATTTTGGAAGAATTTTTATATGTGAATATGCATGTACAAGATTACAGGTTAAAAAAGGAACAGACTCCCTTAAAAATTATGGAATAAGGTACTACTTGGACCTAAGTGCAAATCTTATAATGAGCTGGCCAAGTGTAAAACGTTATCATGATTATCCAAATGTTCAAGAACTGTATAATAATATAAGAATGTATATGTAATCCAAATGTTGAAGAATGGTATAATAATATAAGAATGTATATGTAATCCAAATGTTGGAGAACTGTATAATAATATAAGAATCTATGTATGTGACATCTCATAATTTAATATTCATAATCATGGACATTGAGATACTTAGCATTCAACTTGTATCAAATCAAACAAACTTATTTACCTTTTCTATTTTTAGCATTAGTAAGCCATTCTCCATCTTGGAATGGTTCTGTGATTGAGGTTAGCAAGGTTATATACTGTACATCCCTCCACGTCAGACCAGGACTGAAATATTCATTATTCATAATTGTTAACAATATGAGTGGATTTATTTATGTTATTATTCTGAAATGAGGTCTATAATTTTTTTAACGGAAATAACTTTCCATATTTCTTTCAATAAAAATTCTTTTCCTTGTCAGTTTTATAGATTTATAGATTTTTCTTCTCTTTTTCAAAAAACATCTTCAATCAATTTCTAATCATTTATTATTTATATAATGCAATTCAGTGTCTTCTATAAAGTAACATAAAACTACAATTAAGTAGCAGTTTAAGCTAACTTCATGGCACCTATATAAATATTTTTACAGCTGATAATTTTAAAAAGAAAATACATGCAGTAAAAGCACCATGGTTAACACTAATCTATCCAATTATTTCACTTACTTTGCTTCTAACATTAAAGCGACAAGTCCTGCTGCAAGGGGTGCTGAAGCTGAAGTCCCAGTATGTGTACTAGTGCATCTCTTCCTTAAATCTGTAGTGACCTTCAATACAAATATATTCTTAGATTTCTATTTCTAATTGAGATTCCTTAAAGTATTTTAGATTCTTTCTATTAAACCAGAATTGCAAAAAAAAAATATGTTTTCTTACATTTCTAATTGATCAAATAAAAAATTCATTTGAAATATTTTTAAATTCAATAAAACGATTTTTTGTACTTTGGATTTTAAAAATAATTCAGATGAAACTTTAAGAAATATTTTGAAGCAACACTGACTTAAATATCTAATATTTTAACAATTTATCATTTAGGTGCTAAAATATTCCAATAATATTTTCCAATCTCTTTACACTTCTGTAGTAATTTTTAAGTCTCATTTTACCATATATCACATTATCTTAGTATTTAAAGTAAAATATTTAAATTATTTTATTTCCATTTAACTAAAACATGATTAAATGTTTTTATATACTTTCTAACATAAATTAGTTAATGAAAAGTGAAAAAAATCTGCCAATATTCTGCATAATTATCAAAAGAATTTCATGCGTTACACAACCACTAGTATGTTTATTATTTGCCCTTACTGATAGATCCTTCTATTGTAAGCCATACTCCATAGTTACGGCTTTTCCAGAATTAAACACATTGGGGGTATGAGAGATCCTTTTCAAGACCCAGACCCCCATTATAATTAAATTTATTTATTTTACTTCAATTTCTTACAAAATTCTAAGAAAATTATTAATTGGGACAACCGATATTTAACTAATTTGAATGCCTCTGATCCCCTCATCTGATATATTCAGGAACAACCCTTTTCATCAATTCCAATCTCTGCAGTTAAAACCAATTACACTTTGTTCTGCCCACTGATCAAGTTTAGATGTACTTACAATTTGTCTTTCATGATATGCTCCACTGCTGTAAGTTGTAGCTAAGGTAGAAGCACACTCCTCGAGGTACCAAGGGCGTGTTCCATGTTCGGAGGTACTGCTTATTGACAAGGTAAATATACTGTTTGTATACCCGTCACAATTACAGCTGTCCATAGCACTGCCCCCATTTCCTGATGCCCATACAAATATAGACCCTTTACCACCACGTCCCTGAAAAATAGATCGGGTTGTGATTACAATTATTATTTGAAGCCCACACAAATATAGGCCCTTTACCACCACGTCCCTGAAAAATAGATCGGGTTGTGATTACAATTATTACTTGAAGCCCACACAAATATAGGCCCTTTACCACCTTAAAAAAAGATCTTGAGTATGATTACAATTCATCATATCAGAATCTAAAGAGCTATAGGTAATTTCATTGTTTGCACACCAAAATGAAAATAACCCCACCTTATTTGTTGAATTTCCATTGTTTAGGACATCTAAAACCACTCACAATGTTTTGGTGAAAACTTTTGAAGATTATTATCCAGATTCATTAGATTCTGAAAGGATGAATTATTACAGACAACTCCATAATGTGGTGGGAGAGAGGTCTTTAATTCAAGGTCATGTCTTTTTTTAAATCTTACATCACAACATCCCAATTAAAATATTGATCCTTGGGATCACAAATACTCCTTTAACTCTAGTATTTTCAATGATCACATTTTAACAGCTCAATTTCCTGTTACAGACTTTAAATGAGAACAACAACTTTCACCTTATCTCATTAATACTAAATGAAGAAACTAAGTATAGGATCAACAATTAACGTTATAAAAGAAACTATCAGAACAGGTTAAAAAGGCTGTTTTTAGTCTACTTAATAAAATACATGACGATTACTGTAAATTCAGAAATTATTGCGTGCATTTATTATTGCGATTTTGTCATTTTAGACTAAAATGCGATTTAAATTTTTGCGATATTGAGAAAAATCCTGTTAAATTCATATAAAAAATTTCAAAATGCGAGTTTAAATTATTGCATTATAACCCTGTCGCATTTTTCGCAATAATAAAAACATCGCAATAATTTCTGAATTTACAGTACTATAATCATGAAACTTTATTGTCACTATTTGATACTTATGTAGAAAGCATATTGAATTATTGCTCGGAAGTATGGCACCAAATATAGAAAAAGTTCATTTGTATTATTTAAAACATATTCTTAAAGTCAAAATGAGTTGTAACTAATATGATTTATTGTGAATTAGGTAGATTGCTTATGTCTATTGAAAGACAATATAGAATGGTCAAATATTGGTCAAAAATTGTGAGTACAGAAAATTGTATATAAAAGAACTGCTATGATGAGATTTTTGAAAGAAGTTGTATTAAAAAGAATGATAAACAAAACTGGTGTTGTAAGATTAGAGATATTTTGTTTAGATATGGATTTAATTATGTTTGGTTAAGCCAAAGCATAGTTTTTAAGTTATTTTTCTATTACAATTGAAAGAAAGAATGCTTGGTGCATTCATTAGTGAAGTAACTGCATTTTTTTTTGAGAATTCAAGTAAATGTCATTTTTATAGATATATGTATTAGTACACATGCTTTGCAATTTTTTTTTAGACAGACCTGTAAAACTATATATACAAACCATACATTTGTAAATATTGTATATCAGCTCATAATTTAAGCATAGAAACAGGCAGATATTATAATGTTGATAAAAATAATAGACTTTGTACAAATTGTAACTCTAGCTCTATTGAAGATGAAAACAATTTTATACTTGAATGTCAAAAATATAGTCAAATCCGAGAAAAGTATATCAAAAAGTATTATTGGAGAAATCCATCTGTATACAAACTTATCCTGTTGTTATCTGTCAGAAATATTAAAAAATTAAATAACTTAGGTATATTTTTAAAATCAGCAGAAAAACTTAGAATTTAATTGCATGTATATAGTATATTTGTTCTCACATATTGTGTTTATTAAAGTATATCATTCTACCCTCGTCTTTCATATTTTGTAATATGCATTATATTTTATTTCATGTACACCTTTATATTTATATATTGTGTAACTCAAGAATATTTTGTAAAAATTCTTATCATTGGTGCATATAAAATATTATCATTATGTGTATGTATCCTATAAGATGTATTGCTTTTGGAATAAAGTATTATAGTGTAGAAATGAAGTCTTTGTTTCCACCTGCATTGTTAATATATATATACATATTAGGGTGTATATACAGACACAAGTCTTTTAAACTGTAGAAGTGAGTAAAATAGATTACCGATAAATAATCACTCATTTTAACTACATGTACTACATATATCTCATTTTTAGGAACCATAAAATAATTGAAATAATACAGAATGCAGAGTTAAGAATAGACTGAAAATTTTCTGATGTCCTACAGCCTTTTTTTTCAACTGGTTGGTGGGTAGGGTCATGGGACTTTAGATCTCAGCCCATATAGAAAATATGGGATTGCTAACCAAGACTTGTCTTGTCAAGTTTCTGTCTTGAAATTGTAATAATTCAATTATCGAGCAGATAAAACTGTTAAAGATACATCTGTCCATTCCTTTTTCACTTTTTTTTTATAATTATCTATCTTTTATTCCCCTCATCTCTCCACATTTGGCTTCATATTTTCACTTAAAACAAATTGTCATATAACAGAATTATTTCATTGCATATGCATATAATTTATTCACTGACCGAGATAACAATATATCAACAAGTTTTGCCTTGACATCCATGTTTTCTGTCATATGCATTGTTTTGGAAAAAAATACTGTAAATTCAGAAATTATTGCATGCATTTTTTATTGCAAATGTTGAACAATCTACACAAATGCAAGCTTAATTACTGTGATTTCAGAAGATGCCTAATATAAATAATGCTATAAAATTTTAAAATGTGAGTTTTTATTTTAGTGACACCTATCTCATTGCAGTTTAAGCAATAACAAAAACATTAGCAAAAATTTCTGAATTTATTTTTAGAAATAAATCTTATTGCAGCAACCAAATTGAAATACCTTCATACTCATCTTTTATACTGTAAAATTTATTTGTTGCAGTTGGGACAAAAACTATGTGTAAAAGTGACAAATTTGTTCGGTCTGAAATTCTGAATAAACATCAGACAAGTTTATTGCCCTTACATCTTTGATTCCATCTTCAAAAGCTTTCCAGGCAAGACGTCCTGGTCCATCTACCACCTTGCCATCATCATCTGGTCCCCAGCTAGCTGAGTAGATGTCTATATGAGTCTTATTAAAACTTAATGATGTGGCCTCAACTGCATCAAATACCTCACCATCCAACATACGCACTCCTGTAAAGATTACTCTGATTAAAACACTTGATAAGCCAAAAATTATTTTATGCAATTTGAAATCATTACTAAAGAGTTGGCTAAATTCAGGGACCACCTGCAGTTGCACGATTTTCACTTTTTAGAGGCATAACCTTTGCGTTAACAAATGATTTTACGTTTGCTCAAAATTACCTGTAGTGTACCTCTGTTTTAATCTTGAGAATAACTTGACAGCGCTTCGGACGCATGAAATTAATAACGTGGTTTTCATTTTTGACAGAATTTTGTTATCATTGTAAATTAACTATATGATTAGAGAAGTCTTTATTCATTTATATAAACATTATAAAATGCTATAAAAGAAAGGAGATGTGGTATGATTGCCTATGACACAACTATCCACCAATGTTCAAATGAAATGGATATAAGCCTTATAGGTCACTATACTACCTTCAATAATTAGAGTAACCCATACCCTATAGTCAGCTATAAAAGTATAAAGATGCGTTTTCCTGGAGGGTTAATTTTATGTTGTTTAATATTAGGATGATATCATTGAATGACATCATCTTAAAGAAAACTTTAAATTATACACAATGTGTAAAAGTGTATGATGGAATATGAAAGATCTTTAAAAAAAAAAACTAATGGAAAAATGGAAATAAATCAAAATAAAAAAAATTTTAAAAATTGTACCTGTAATATTTCTCTTAATTTAAAATAAACACTGTCGATATCCAGCCTTAACAGGAGATAATCTTAATTAAGATTTTTAAATACATATATATATTACCTCCAATCCCTGAGTTAAATGCTACTCCTACCACACAATTTGAGTTATTAGCAGACGCAGACACTTCACCAGCACATCTTGTTCCATGTCTACAGAGAAATAAATTAGTTGGTTAAATAGTTATCAAACAGATTTCAATGTCCAAGCAAATAAAGCTGGGACTAAAGCTGTCACTAATATAAAGAGTTGAGAAATATTACTTAATATAGTCAGCTATAAAAGGCCTAAACATGACAAATTGTGAATCAATTCAAATAAGAAACCCAACAGCATGATTCATATCAAAACAACACAAGAAATACAAATATGATAGACAACAACCAACAACAACTAAATTACAGACTCCAGAGTTAGGACAGACACAAAAAAATGTGGCGAGTCAAACATGTAAGTGAGCACTCAAACCTCCACTAACCTGGGACATGGTTGTAACAGTCTAACATAAGAACAAATTGTAAAAATCAATTGGAAATAGCCAAACATTAAAGTATTGTGAAGTAAACAATCTGAGAAAACATGACCTTGTGCTTAACTGTGTAGGCTTTAAAAGGTCTTGGACAAATTTCCTTGCTTATCAAACTATCTGTGAATCTGTTTTTCACTCAAAATAACTTTAAACCAGCTATAATTTTTATTTAGAAATAATTTAAAATGAATATGAACAAAGAAATTTTATAAAACTTTGTCAAATTGCTGACTGTGATTGAAAATGTCATCAGAAAATAAAATAAGCATGATAATAAAGTGCTGCTGAATTAGTTAAACATCACGATATGTAAATATTTCCCAACAAGAATACATGTAAACATAAGTAAATAATTTATCATACTGCATATATGTATAAAGGTTGTAATGTTCATCATTTTTACTGCAGATGAAATATTGTCTAACACTTTTAATGTTAATTTTAGCACTTTAATGTTAAATTTAGAGTGGTAAAAGTGTTATTTCATAAGTTGACAATATGAATTATTTGGAAAAACTTTTACATTTTCACTTAAATGGAAATTACATTCAACTTAATCTATAATTAAAAGGAAAAGTAATTGTTGTCTACTGACTTGGTTTACATAGATTTTGCAGTGTCAACATTTCTCAAATATTCGTAAGATTGTGTAGAAATACATTTTCCGATAATAATCATTTTTTAAGAGAAATTAATCTCTTCCGTTCGATGAGGACATAAACGTGGGTTTACAACCTTAGATATGTTTTATTTGCTTTTTACAGATATCACCAATGTAATTTCCTTGTTAATTTGTTAATTTATTGTCATTTGTTTATGTTATGACATCAATAAACACCTGTTCTTGGCTTATTACCTGTTCTCGTTAGTGGGGTCATATCTTGGCATAGGATCATTATCTTTGTTGTTTACGTCATAACTGGCATATGGATCCTGCAATATAACAAAATCACACTTCGATTACTGAATAATTTAAATTATGTCTAGGTATGTTCTTATCTGTAAATCTATATATTCTGCACTTGATGATGACAGCAATGGTTAAAAACACAAGCAAAGAGTTCCATTTGGCTCCCCACAGAATAAACTGTAATATGTTATTTTTTCCCCTTTATTATAGTGGGGGTGCCATATGGAACTCTTGCCAAATGCTGTTATTATAAAAAGTATATAATATATTGGACTTAAGTTCAGTTGTGATTCCTGTCCATACAAATCAAAGTTATAAACAAGACTAGGTCAGCATATTGTGGGGCTAAAATGGACACACTCTCACCAATTTAATTCAGTTCTCAAAAAACTCAAAACTAATTAATGAACAAAACAACAGGACATGAAACCAAAAAATGAAAACCCAAATAGTATGGCCATCAAACTTCTATTCCTATAAATGGTGGAAAATTCAATAAAAAACTCTCAGGCTAATTAATAAGATGCTGTATATACACAACTGTGGGATTCTCTATAACATTTTTCCAATAACCCTGTTGTTATTGCTAAATACAAATGAATACCATTACAGAAATGACTTTTAATACAATCTGCTTCTCATTTTTTTTATTTTCTCAGCTTTCTGTTTAAAAATGACCCATAATACCGATACCGAACTTGTAAATATTAATCACAAAATGAATGATGTCTTCTTAAAAGCTTACGAACAAACAAAAATTAAGAACACTACATGACTATAAAAAAATCCCCTACAGTATTAAGTATATCAATAAGTCATAAATATAATGTTAGACTGTCATAAATATAGGACAAATCGTCTTACTAAAATTTAGAACAACTTAACAGGACGTGTTAGGTTTCTTTGTATTACAAAATCTTGCCATTTTAAAGATCAAATTTCAGACAAGGATAATATTTCAGATTTATATAAGTGCATACTTCTTTTTAATTTGAAACCACAGGAAATGTTGACCAACAAACCTGAAAATTGCTGACAAGGTTCAATTCATCATAATAAAGGCTCAGACCAAATCTAAAATCATTCCTGTACAAAAAAGCTGATATGCATGTTGAAAAAAAAACAGTGCTCAGCAGAATGAGATTTTATGACTGGTTCATGAGAAGTTAAGATGCCAAATTGGCCAATTCTACTTCAATTAATAATTAATAAGAAATTCAAAAGCTAATTAGTCACAAGCATTCTGAGAGTATTGCATGGCAATACATAGTCCCCTACCGGTTAAGAATTCATTGTACTGGATTTATGTACATGCATGACGAAAAAAAGTGCAGAAAACTGATTATTTGAGTGAATGTTCTAAGTCCAAGGACCATAACTCTGCACAAAACCATCAGACCAGAACGAAATTCGAACTTGATCTGTAACTTGTCATGATAAAACTATATACCAATCATTAAATCAATATCTTCAAGCATAAAAAAAAAGTGTGGAAAACTGGTTATTTGAGTGAATTTTCTTAGTCCAAGGACCATAACTCTACACAAAATCATCAGACAGGAAGAAAATTCAAATTTGATTTGTAACTTGTCATGATAAAACTATATACAAATTATCAAATCAATATCTGCATGCATGGCGAAAAAAAGTGCAGAAAACTGATTATTTGAGTGAATTTTCTAAGCCCAAGGACCATAACTCTGGACAAAATCATCAGACCGGAACAAAATTTGAACTTGATCTGTAACTTGTCATGATAAAACTATATTCCAAATATCAAATCAACATCTTCAAGCAAGAAGAAAAAAAGTGTGGAAAACTGATTTGCCGGACTGACGGATGGATAGACAGATGGAGTGCAAACCTAAAGTCCCAATTCGACTTCGTCGGTAGGGGACTAAAAAAGGAACTAAAAACAAGTAGAAGAGTACTTATAAATCAATATCATTTCTCTGAAAGAAAACAATATTCTGACCACAAAACATGTACAATTTCCTTTCCACGACATAAACTTTTGTACATTCCTCGAAAAGCTTGACAAACTCTGAATGTAAGGAAATCATGAATTTCCAAGAAAATCCTCTTAAAGGATTACATTAATAGTTACTCAAAAACCTATTCTAATTGAAACAAACTCTTGCAATACGTCTTAATACAAAAACTGTCATTGATTTCTGTTGGAACAGAAATTTTACATTTATAACAAGAGCGATGTCAGATGTAAAATGATTAACCTAATGTTCTTTTGCTGTAAACAATTAGGTTACATAATAGAATCAATTTCTTTCAATTTGATGACACATTTTTCAGTCAAAATCAAGCATGAAAATGACAGATAACTCGTAAAGATTTCAATTTGTTAGATTTAATACTTTTCCAACTATGAATTTAATCCTCATCCAAATATATCAATGTTTCAGGACTTTTCAAATCAAATTATTACTGGAAAAGTGTCTATCAGTTATCCTTGGGATTAGAATTTTGGGTAGTAAAATTCATTAAGCACAGGTAGAATCAAAAACAATGATTGACACAACAGAAAAAAACATTAAATTTTGGGTTTCCATTACTTTTCAAGACACCCTGTTTCAACCTTTCAAAATTTTATCTTAACTCTTACTCATGGTCCGCTTGGTGGAAAAACAAAAAAATTCAATTAAAATGTCTCTGGTTTGACCCAGTGAGGACCTACATGCATTGCTAACTTCTAGATTATAATTAGTTTGGAGGCTCATTCTTAATTTCACTTTCTTGGAAATGTATTCATAGACAACAAGAAATTTCCAAGAAATAAACACTTTTGGACTATTTTTCAACCACTTATCAAAAGGATTAGCCGTTTGTTTTCATGGAAAATAAAACCTTGAGATTAAGCTTTTAATCTACACCTACTCAATAACAAGAGAGCAATTTCATTGTAAATCTTTTTTCTATTTTAACAGACTCTTTTATCAAATGGATTGCAATATATATGTGCAGGGAATACAGACAATAAAATCTTCTATCCATTGTCATTATTGAAAAAAACTGTTATGTAACTGCTGTTTTTGGCATTGATTCAACAATCAAACTGATTCCTGTTGTCTCCTGAGTGTAATTACCAAATCATGGAATCTTAGCATTGGTAACAAAGTCTGAAACTTATGAAAACCAGGATCGCCTTATGAACTTTAGCTGAGGCAATGGATGAATGAGGGGATTATAGGATAACAATTTTAAATAAAATCTGTCATTCCTTTTATAAATCATTTAATGGACAAGAGAATGAATCTTATTTTAGAAAGGGAGGTATAGCAGAATCTGGCGAAGCATTTAAGCTCCCATGTCACTGCTGAGTTAACTGGAAATTCAGCAGATTTTAAAGTAACTTTTCAGGGAATTACATCTAGGTTCTGGTACATATGGCAAAGGTCCTTGATAAGGTTTAGTAGAATTAAGGTTTTCGTTTTAAATATCGTTAAAAATTGGAATTGGTTAGTATTTAGAGTGACGACTTGAACATTTAAATAGTATATGACCCTATATGATGAACAAATATTCAAATATTGTAAGCCATTTTTCTCTGACTTTGTATAATAGACAAAACACATATACATTGAATGAAATCAGCATACAAATACAAAATACATACTATGGACTCATTATATGCAAGCCTTTACAAAATAAATAATTTTTTTAAATTGCCTATAGATGCATTTAATATGAATGTGTGATTCGATTTATTACTTTACAAATTTGTTTTGCCAATTACAAAAACCTTTCAGTCCATGAAGTTTCAAAATCCTCGATCGACCTTATAGAACGATCAATTAACCAATTATCAAATGTTTATCTGTAAAAAACATGCGACACATATGCAAACAAGTTAATTAACAAAAGTATAAGTTTTGAATAATGTGTACCATTATAGCTATATAATCGATCAACCCACCAAGATGGGATTACAAAAGTTACTTCATGACTATATTCATCTTCTGCCCAATCTGTCATAACTTCTTACGCAAGCTCGAATTAAAGTTACTGGGAGTAAAGCTCAGAAAATGATACTGAAGCAAATTTCATTATGAAATTCATAGATCTTTAAAACACTGGTTTTTGCTGTCTGTAAAAGACAGAGAAAAATCCACCAAGAAGACTACATATTTTAACTTATGAACTAATGGAATGACGGATGAACAGACAAAGGAACATCAAAATACCTTTGTTAATAGGACAACAATTTATTCTGCAATCCTTCATAATCAATTCTGCCATTCAAAACACATGTATCTTAAGTTAAACAGCAAAATATGCTGTCTGATTGATTATCTTTATACTTTTTCCCAAAATTATAATTTTTAAATACATATATCTTAATTTAACAACCTGCATGTTTTCTGTCAAAGGGACAATACTGTGTTAGTCATTGGCAGTCAATCAACACAAATCAAGATTACGGTATGCATGTTGCAATACAAATTGCTCCTCAATGTCGAATATGAAAATTCTATATAAAACCTGACCCTAGATGCAAAATTTGAATTATTTTGTCTATCATAAGATCCAGTTATAACTGGTAATGGAATTACATAAAAACAGATCATACACTGTTATTAATCAGATAGACACCATTAACAAATTATTAAAAAAAATTACCACAAAGATGTGTATCATTTCCTGCGTTATTTTAAATTTGAAAGGTTTAACTTGTTAGGTCAAATAAAATGATTTTTTCACATCTGCTTACTATGCATAATTAAACGAACAATTAAAAAAGGAAAGAAAAAAATTTGATATAGTTAATAACAGACAAGTTTTGGGTAATTTTTTTTAATCAAAGTGCAGATGTACTTTAACTATTTTCAGTATGAGAAATACTAGTACAGCTAAGATAATAAATGAAAATAACACAAAAAATTTGGTGTGTCCAAAAACACTTTTCTGGATTTACCTACATCAAGACTGCTCAAACTCAAATCTTTGAAAGCCAAGGATGTTAAAATACCCTACACACATTAAGAGCTATATGAGCAAATTCCTCACAAGTCAACTTTGGAGTTGAAGCCTTAAATTTTTTATATTTTTTTTTAAAAATAAGTACAATTCTCCATATTTCATCAGAACTAGTCCTACTTTTGAAATGCCAATCATACTGAAAGAGATTTTTTATATGGTAATCTGAAAAAGGCTGTGATAGGAAATTAATTTTCCAAAGGATCTACTTTTCTCGAGTTGTATCCTTACCTCCACCATAGATTATATTGGACTTTGTTGATAGGCAGCAAGTTATTTCAAGTTTGTTTGTGTTTTAAACGCCACTTTCAGCTTTATCAAGACAGCCAATTATATTTAGTTTTCGCAGCTGTGTTAGTTGGCAAACACTATTTTAGAACAGAACTTTTAAAACTAGATGCCCTTAGGATGATTGAAGCCAAGTAACGTTCCAATTGGCCCAGTAGTTTTAGAAAGAAGATTTTTGTAAAAGTTAACATACAAACGATGAAGACAGACGCCAAGTGATTAGTAAACTCATTCCAGTCCTTTAGACCAGGTGAGCTAACTTTGCTGAAGTGTAAAATAGTTTATAATAAAATGCTTCGCTGAGCGCAGCCTGATACAACCGCAGAGGTCGAACCCTGAACAGTTGGTACAAATTTGGACACAATATTCAAGCTTGATACTGTCTGAATTTGGATTGTAATCAAATTTTTGACATAATATAGATTTCTGACACAAAATAAATGTGGTCAAAGATCATACAAATCTATTGCGCAATACTGTGCAATTGAAGATTTCTTCTTGAAACTTTTCAAAAATTCAAAATTTGAAAAATTTTGAAAAAAAAATATGAATCCTCTTAAAAAATTGGAAAAAAAAATCCCCCCCCCAACTTTTTGAAACCCCCCTTGGAGCAATAACCCCAAAACTCGATCCCAGCCTTTCCTTTGTAGTATGGAACCTTGTAGTACAATTTCAGAGAGATCCATACACTTAAACACAAGTTATTGTCTGGAAACTAGAAAAATGCTTGTTTTTGGCCCGTAATTCCTACATATTTGGGCAATTAACCTCAAACTCAATCCTAGCCTTCCCTTTGTGATATGGAACCTTGTGGAACAATGTCAGAGAGATCCATACACTTACACACAAGTTATTGTCTAGAAACTAGAAAAATGCTTGTTTTTGGCCCCATTTTGGCCCTTAATTCCTAAACTGTTGGCCCCAGAACCCCTTAAATAAATCCCAACCTTCTACTTGTGTATTAAACATTGTTGTACAATTTCAGAGCAATCAAGATACTTATACACAAGTTATTATCCTGAAACTAGAAAAATGCTTGTTTTGGGCCCCTTTTGGGCCCCTAATTCCTAAACAGTTGGGACCATCATCCCTAAAATCAATCCCAACCTTCCTTTTGTGGTATTGAATCTTCTTAAAATATTTCATAGAGATCCATTCACTTAAACTAAAGTTATTGTCCGGAAACCAATGTGTCTTTGGACGACGACAACATACCATTATACAATCCCAAAATTTTTTTTGCAGTCGTATAAAAAGGGTTAAATCTGCATAAAATATGTGTACAAAAACTTAGAAGCTGTATTTCATTAGTTTACAGAAAACACTTATATTTCCAAATACAGGGTCAAGAAGTGGTAATCATGAAGGCTTGTTCATTCATAGTTATTGGAGAAAAAAGTTTTAAACATAAACGGAAATGTGTATGAAAACAAACATTCTTATGCATAACTACTTGATAATTCAGCCTGAAGTCTAACAAGTCTGTGATGTATCAAGTTTAAATCTCCCAGCAAAAAATCAATGATCTAATACCACTGATAAATATGTGGTCTTAATATACATAATGGTTTATCTTGGTCCCAAAGGCCCTTTTAACAACTTTTATATCTGATACTGTATATAAACCTAGGTACAATTAATTATATTCAAATTATACAGAATATTTTCCCTACTGTGATTCATTTAATGTATATTTATTTACTTAAGTTTTATAAGTCCATTTATGTACATGTATATAACAAATGTATAATAAAATACAAATTAAGTTTTTTTTTCAACACCAATAAAAAATTATAGAAGAACCAGCTACAAAAGCAATTTTAATGTTGAGTATACAATTTCTGTGAATTAATTCGATTAACATTACCACATATTATGCGCAAGTAGCATAAAGCCACTTAATAGATAAATTTATTTATTTTTGTGGATTAAATCCAAGCTCCAAAATATTTTCAGCTTATCAAATATTTCTGTAGCTATTGTGGAGATATTTTTTCTGTGATACACAAAATAGTCAAACATGTAAGAGACTCGATGAATGAGAAGCATATGCATGTACCCTTCATGAGAGGGTGTCTATTTATATAGAGGTTCATTTCACAAGCTTTGTCCATGTTAGGATGTTTTTACGCAAGTACAAGTCTAAAATTAGTTAAGTATGTAGTAGAAGGAAAATTCTACTTCAGACTGACAAGGAAGTCACGTATATGAGTATTGACCGAAGTGGATTAATAAGAAAACTTAAATAACTTAAATATATATAGTATGCTACTAAAATCAAGCTTCCCTTCAAATGTATGTGCATAGCTCATCCCAAAAAAATATGTGCATAGCTCATGTTAAATGTGAAGGAAACGAACAACCCTTTTTTTAAAAGCTTTTTTATATAATTTTATCAAAACAACACATATTTAGTACTTGTTAGTATTCCTCAATGAATGATTAAGAATTTCCTTTTAAAAACTTATATAGCTTTCAGTAACTGCTAGTACTCTCAGATCTGCACTTTGTGTCTTTTGTGTTTTTGTTAGGGGTTTTTTTGTGCTTTGTATCGATCTGATGAGTTAAATCCTTTTCAACTGATTTTTATAGTTTGTTCTAATGTTGTACTGTTACACCACTGTCCTAAGTAAGAGGGAGGGTTTGGGCCAGCAATCATATTTAACAACCACATTCTGTATTTGTCTGTCCCAAGTCTGGTGTCTGTAATTCAGTGGTTATTGTTTGTTGCTGTTAATTATATTTGTTTTTCATTTACTTTTTTGTACATAAATCAGGCCGTTAATTTTTTCATTTGAATTGTTTTATATTTGTGATTTCTGGGCCTATCATAGCTTACTATGTGGTATGGGTTTGCTCATTGTTGAAGGCCTTATGGTGACCTATAGTTGTTAACTTCATCGTCATTTGTTCTCTTGTGGAGATTTGTCTCATTGGCAATCATATCACATCTTCTCAATTTTACATACATTGATCAAGCTGGTAATATGTATGGATTTCTAATAAATATGAATAAAGTAGATGTGGGGTATACATCAATGAGACAGTAACCGAACAACACCATATACACAAAAGACATCTAGAGGTCATCATATAGTCTTCGAAAATAAACAATATGTTTTAACCCCCTCCTCCAGTCTAAAAAAAGGTAGTGAATAAATTATACAGTAACTATCATATCAACTACCATCAATTACAAATTCTCCAATTAACAGAACACATTCAGATATAACATAAAACAACCACTGGCAAGGTTCCTGATTTAGGACTGCATATGTGGGGAAGTTTAACTAGTTTTTAAGATCTCAATAGATATAGTTACATTTGAAATTTTTAACTTCCAAAATATTAAATTTACATGCACAACACTTGTTCAGTATCGGAGACTGCTTTCAAAACAATACTTCATTATCTTTTTCAGAGTAAGACAATCAGAAATCCTGTCTAATGAGTATAACAATTACTGTGGATTCATTATTATTTGTGTTTTTCATGGGTACAACTGAATCACATATCTAAATGTTCAACAACGTACAAATTTTCTATAGGCTTATAAGTATGCAGACTTTTGTAAAACCATGAAATTAAATAACGAAAGAAATACAGTTTTTCCTTAATCCACCAAAAATTCGTATCCACGAAAATAAAAAAATCTACAGTATATAATATGTAATGAACAATCAGACAATCATACAATCTGAAGAAAAAATGAAAACAACATGTTATAAATTTCATGTGTCCGAAGCGCTTTTCGTGATTTTCCATCACCAGGAACTCAAAGCCGAATATTTTAAAGCCAGGATGTATAAGAAGCAGAAACAGTTGAAGAACTTACATAATTTTTTATCAGATCAGGATGGTCCCTCTCTATACCGTCATCTAATATAGTAACTACAACTCCTTTACCAGTATATCCCATCTCCCATGCTCTTTTAACATTCATGTCATACCCCACAGTGCCTGCTGTACCTCTTTTGCCTCCCGCATGCTGAAAAAACACAAAAAAACTTCTTAACCCTTCGTTTTAATAAGTATTTTTAAAAGTAGTAAAATGTATGATTTACATAACAATTTGTAACATAGATTGAAACATACCAAATGAACACTGTTTTGTCATAAATCAGACAGTTTGTTTAATGTTTTCCTGTTTTAATATTTTTTGACATGTCTGTCAATCCATGTCCGGGCATTTTAAAACTTTCTATATAGTATGAGTGTTGATCATTCTTGAAGGCCTTTAGTTGCTTGAATCCATATCCTTTGGAATCTAGTGAAAACTTGTCTTATTGGCAATCATCTCTCCTTATCTGTATATAGACTGTTAATACATATTAGAATCTAGCTATATATAGGCCTTCAAGAAATCAGAAATAACTTTTCTGCTTCCTCATCGTATTAGATTGGTTTACAATAAATGCAAAAAGACTGTTTAAATGTTGTAAATAATTACAGTGAAGTTCTGAAGACAATACATATTCCTTCTTGGAAAGTCATTTCTGGTAGCAGGAATTGGACTTTAAATTTATAATTCTTAAATTCAATAAGAGCCATTCCCTTCCTAACAATGCTGCACTGGTTCACTCCAATGAATAGAAAATGTGAGAAGTAAATATATATATAATTGTTTTATTACTTTGATATATGATTATATTACCATTAAAATAAAAATAAAAATAACTATCCATTAAAGACCAATTATAGGTCAAGGTCAGGTCAAAGTTTGGTTGGAAAGATGTTGTTAGTAAAGAGAACAAACATGTAGGTACATTTATAGTAGTAATAAAAATTTCCATTTCTTTTTACCAAATGTTAAGAATTAAAATGAAATATTTACTTCTTATGTAACCAATGCGACTCATTTCACCAAATGAGAACATGTATATATACTTCCTAACAAGGAGAGTAACTTGGTATCAAATTATAAATAGAGGGTAAAAGTCTGGAAATCTCATAAACAAAATTGTATTTAAAAAAATTTTGTCAAAGAGAATTAATTTATTTCTGTCAACAATGAAAAATTGATCCAATTAGGGGCCAAGAAATAATAAAAAAATCTTTATATAAAGTGTGATTAACTGTTGTTTGCTTAATGTCCAGTGGAAAATATTTCATGTAAATTAAGGACAAGAGCAAAGTAACAATAAAATCAAACAGGTGAATTCTCTAAACAGAATGAAGAACAGGAAGTTTTGATTGCCAATGGAAAGTGGTAACATGTTGTAATAAGGACAGAAATTTTGCACAAAGCCAAATTGTGTCCAATCAGCGTGGGTTTTACAGCCTGACAGATATTTCCGTACCTCAGTGTATCAATGAATACATCTTGTACATGTACACTTGTCACAATATAACCTACTTAGGCTTTGAAGCAGTAAACTATCTATTTTTGTCAAAACATAATGCATAATCATAACAAATACAGAATGGAGAGGTCTTACATTATCTTAAATTAATATTATACTTTACTACTTACAAGATACCATTGATTTTTGTACTCTGGGTCATTAAATGTGAGATCTCTTTTTGTTCTTTTGTTAACATACTGTTGCTCAACCCAGTGAACCTGCAAAATATCAAATTACTTACAGTAGCAGTCTTTCATTAATGACTTCATTTACAGACTCAATGCATGTAGAATATTTGTACATGTATAAAAGACTGATAGAATATATAGTGTCCTCCCTCACATATATTAGGTTACAATAGTGCAATTATTTTTCATTTTACCCAAAAATGGTACCGAGAAAAAAAATTTGTGTGGTTGGATGATACAGGATTGGAATTACTTTTAATTGAAAGCTTATCCATTCTCTAGAAAATTAAATTCATATTTATCAAGTGTAGAAAATGCATTGAATGTTTTTTACTTAGGATCTCAGCCACTAAATTTTGCCTTTCCCATAAAGTGCAGAAATAATACGCTTATTCAACTGCACTTTAAGTCAACTTTTGCCAAATTACCATATACGTTTTTTGGCTTAAATACAACCCTCATATTTCTAGTAACAGAAACTGCTACCAATTTTTTCTAGTTTGTTTGTTCTTCAAAAATTAAAATATGGAACACCATTAGTACCCTATGGAAAATACATTACAAATAATTGTGCTTGTAACCTATAGCATCTGTGTACCTGTTCTGATGCTGTAATTGTTTTACCTTGATCTTATCAGAAAAAATGTCAATAAGGTATTATCATAATATTTTGTTATCCAGATGCTATGGTGGCAAGTACTATTTAAAAAATTTTCTCTATACAAGGAGCCTATATGAAATTTCTGATAAGAAAAATGTGATACATCATACATCTATGTTATTCAATAATGATTACCAATATCTAATCAAAATTAAGAAACTTCTATATCACTTTATTTTATTGAAAGTTATTAGGTTTAATTATGAATTGTTGAGGTTATTGTCATGTCAAATGTTTATTCCCTTCAGGGCCCTTAATTGGTATAAAATATTCTTATTCTTCTGTACAGTTGTGATCTTTAAATCAAAGACATAATAAAGAGGCCGGCTCTTCTCTGTAATAACAGCTCAGGCAACAGCTGAACTACAAAAACACTACTTCTAAAAGCCTATACTGTAGCTCAAAGCTTTGGAACAAAGATCCCTGAATGTCTCGGGGAAAACAATTGTCATACAGAAATGTCATATAACTTTCCTCAACAGGAAGATTCCTTTTCAATGGAAACACCATATGATTGATTATTCCTACGCAATCAAACATCAAATAACTTCTATTGTGCCGAATTACACAAAAATCAATCATGCTTTTCTTAATTACTTGCACAGCTTAACATGATTAAACCTTAAATGTTATTGCCAAGTCAATCATAGGTTGACAAAAATTTCAATGTTGTTATATCAAAATAACAAAAATTAAACTCAATCATCTTTAAAAGTTTGTTTTTTAAATCATTTGTGTATGAAATATCGAGACTCTGACTTTACAGTATTTAAATAAAACCTTTTACCATCGGTTCTTAAAAGCAGAGGAAATTCGTGAGAGTTTGAAAAGACCTAGTCATATCATTTGCTTACTTTGAAAGGCCTTATAGCATATATACAGGCAGCAATTCAATTTTGTCATATAACTTTGGTTTGAAACCATTTTTTTCCTATGGTAATTGTAACCCCTTCTATCCTGATCATCAGATGTCAATTTCAATGAAATGTGGAGTACCATAATTGGATCAAGCCTAGCAAATCTTTTCTGCATCAAACATTTCCATGTACTTAAGTCAGGAATCTTGTTATGGTTCCCAGCGCTGCGGGAGGTCAAAGGGTATCTGTTGTAATCGTGTTATTCTGATACTGTTAAATCAGATGTAATCTTTAACTTTGCTAAATCAAACTTAATTAACCAGAACTTCAAATGCTCAAGAATGCATTGATATTCAAGTTAACTAATATAGTTAATTAACCTAAAACTTTCATCAGTTATTCTAGAAATTTGTGTATCAAGGATTTTAAACAAGTGTTAGTTGTTAGAATCATCTTTTATTTGATGTTAAACTAAAGATAGGCATGTTTTATGTGCCAAGGAATCTGCTTCTTACAAAGTACATTGTATGCTGTCAGTACTGCATATATAATTAACCTTCCTCAAGAAAATTTTCCCAAATTCATACAGGGACATTTTCTGGTGACATAATTATCTCCCTTTAACACTGATATTCACTGTCTATCTAATAATGCTATTGACACTTCACTGACTTGAAAACTTCAACATAATTGAATAGCACTGTTTTAACATATCATATAATCAACTTCTAAATACATTTGTAAATATGGACAGGAGGATCAGCTAAAGAATAATTTCATCATGTTGCTATGCAAACTCCATGTGCAAATTCCATTCAATTTTCTTTTCAACAGTCTTTATACATTTCTTTAATGTACAGTATGAGTAACTAAGCAGTATGGAGTGAAAAAAAACAAGTTCCTAACAATCTTTAGTCTTTCTCCATAAAGTTTTCAGGTGACCTTGACCTATGACCCCATATAAAATTAGTTCCCTGTCCTATGCTAAAATGGTGAAGATAGGATGTATTTTGAAGTATTTTGAAACCTCCACAGTGCCTACTAATAATGGATAAACATTCAAACTCCTTTGCCCTACAATTGAGCTTTTGATATGGTATGAGATGATATGGAATGAACTTCAGTTGAATGTTTGTTTACACACTATATTTATCTGGGAATTTAGCCTTTTTGTGCAGATGTGACATGAAGCAATCGCCATTTAATCAAACTATGCAAATAAGTATAAATGTAACTTGGCTGCAATAGCAAACATAACCACATCTAAAAACAGACAGATTTGGTGGTAAACAGGACTGAAATTGTAAATATTACAATCCGAACACTTTAATTATACGATCATAAAATAAAATATTGACAGGTTCTTGTGACTAATAAAGTAGAAATCATATTATTATTTGGTTTGTTTGAAATTGTTCTTTACATTCCTCTAATTTACAACAGGTCATTTCTTTTTTAAACAAAATCCATTACTATCAAAGGATTTGAGATAAAGACAATAGACATTGTTCAAACATACAATATTCTAAAACCAATTATGACAGTATGTCTTCACTTTCTCTTAAAATTACTTGTTTATAAATAGACGAAATCTGTCAAATCGACATGAGATTTTTCTTCATTTTTTGCCAGTTTTAACCAGTTCTGATTGATATTTTTTAACTTGAAAGGACGTCAATATTACTAAATGAATACTAATGAACTTTACTTTCATAACTTTACACAATATTAATAACATGATAAGTTTCTTATCAATTTTCACTTTTTTTATTCCGTTACTAGTGAATGGGAAAGTGGGTGTCAGCAATCCTTAATAGAACAATTAATACATCATGTTTACTTTGACATGTCAAAGCTACTGTACAAATATTTTTTAATGTTGACAATATATAGATGCTGATCATTGAAGACATTGATGAGGACCTTGAACTATTTGTACATGGTCATGAATATTCCCACACATAATGCGATCAAAGAAATTTCTGCTTTTATCTTTTATTTTACAAATGTAAACAAAGACACATATTATTTATAAATCTTGTCAAATATATATATTGTCTCTTGGGTCCCAATTTACCTACAGCCATGCATATAATTTGTAGTCTTCCAAAAAATTTCAACATTTTTATTAAATACATAAACTATATATATATGAACTACTTTTAGTCTATACATCATTACAAATATTTTCTTAGTCAATTTGACCTTGGAACCCAAAAAACAAAAACACAAACAAGAACCATAAATATTATAAAGACATTTGTAGAAGGTCAAATTTTAAACTACAGGGAACATATCTTTAGATGAATTACACATCTTGTAATTTCTTGTCAATCTGGTTTCACAAAAGTACTTAACTGAACTAAAGAAAGGACTGTGATTACCATACAGAATAAATGTAATAAAAGTTATAAACTGCATCTATAAAGATTATAGCAATTTCAGTCTACATAACCTTTATATCAGAAAACATCCAGTGACTTAAGAGTGATAACACATTACCATATAATATCTAGCAGATGACTAGGAGTGATAGCACCTATCCATATAACATTTAGCTGGTGACTTTGGAGTGATTACACCTAGCCATAGAACATCTAGCTGGTGACTTTGGAGTGATTACACCTAGCCATAGAACATCTAGCTGGTGACTTTGGAGTGATTACACCTAGCCATAGAACATTTTGCTGGTGACTTTGGAGTGATTACACCTAGCCATAGAACATCTAGCTGGTGACTTTGGAGTGATTACACCTAGCCATAGAACATCTAGCTGGTGACTTTGGAGTGATTACACCTAGCCATAGAACATTTTGTTGGAAACTTAGGAGTGATTACATCAGTCATTTAACATCTAGCTGGTGACTTTGGAGTGATTACACCTAGCCATAGAACCTCGTGCTGGTGACTTGGGCGTGATTACACCTAGCCATAGAACATTTTGCTGGTAACTTAGGAGTGATTACATCAGTCATTTAACATCTAGCTGGTGACTTGGGCGTGATTACATCAGTCATATAACATCTAGCTGGTGACTTGGGCATGATTACACCTATCCATATAATATCTAGCTGGTGACTTGGAGTGATTACACACTTTGCCATATATCTAGCTGGTGACTTGGGAGTGATTACACCTAATTATATAACCATATAAAATCTAGCTGGTGACTTGGAGTGATTACACTTTGCCTTACACTATCTAGCTGGTGACTTGAAAGTAATAACACCTAGCCATTTAACATCTAGCTGGTGACTTGGGAGTGATTGCATCAGTCATATAACATCTTGCTGTTGACTTGGGAGTGATTGCACCTATCCAAATAACATCTAGTTGGTGACTTGGGAGTGATTACACTTTGCCATATATCTAGCTGGTGACTTGGGAGTGATTACACCTATTCATATAACATCTAGTTGGTGACCTGGGAGTGATTACACACTTTGCCATATATCTAGCTGGTGACTTGGGAGTAATAACACCTAGCCATATAATATCTAACTGGTGACTTAGAGTGATTACACCCTGTCATTTAATATTTATTAAGCAACTTCAGAGCGAATAATCCACAATCCACTGTAAATCACCAACCAAAAAATGTATCAAGATGGCACTATTTTGGATCTATAGGTTTCAAGAGCGCAATTATTCGTAATGCATTTTCCATAGGGTACCAGTGGTGTTCCGTATTTTATTTCTCGAAGACTACACAAACTAGGAAAAAAACGGGTACCAGTTCCTGTTACTAGAAATGCCAGTGTTGCATAACAACCAAAAAAAAATATATGGTCATGCGGCAAAAACTGACTTAAAATGCAGTTGAAAAACATCGTCTATTTTTTTCGCTTAATGAAAAAGGCATATTTTTAATGGCTCTGACGTACAGAAATGGAAGATATTTTCTATACTTTGTAAAATGTGAATTTGAATTTCTGGATTTTTCAAACCTAATTGGATAAGCTTTCGATTAAAAGTAATTCCAATCCTGTATCATCCAATCAGAAGCAGTGCAAGATTCTATTCTGAGTACCATCTTGGGGTAAAAAACTTGCCGGTAAAATGTAAACAAATAATTGCGCTCTTGTATAAACCATAAGATTACACCCACAAACTTTATGAGACGGGAATGAATTAACATACTCGTAGTAGAAATATACAAAAAATGTTACCCTGTGTTGTTTATCAATCTTATTATATCTATCAACCAAAGTTTAAAATTCATAGGACAGACATGCATGAAATTTTGAAGACTGACCCAGTTTCTGTGAATAAAACTTTTCTCTTTGCATTTATATAACTACTAACTAGTGAAAACAGATATATTTACAAAATTCAATACTCTTTTCCAGATCAACAATTAGAAAACAAAAATAGAAAAGTGCTAGACAAAGGAAATAAAAAAATAATAAATAGATAATGCCAAACTGTTTAAAGTGTTGATGGTAAATGCTTGCAAATTACATGATCATAACCAAAGTATAAAGTTTACAATGAGTGTTGCTATTCATCAGTTCCTGATTAAATAATTCAACAATGACACAAGATATTTTAAATATTTTGACTAGTTTTTAAACTACCACGAATAATGAGTGAGCAGCCAAAATAGATTATTAATATTTTGTCAATTACAAATGAACAAATTCCTGTAGGTAACATATTTTCAAAGAAAAAAGACAAAAAAATCAGTTCTAACATACTTCCTAAAATAAAGTCATAAGATCAAGGCAAAATAAAGCGTCAAATCAGACAAATTATATTGGCAATTATAATAATAAAAAGATTAACTTTAAATTTAGAAATTAATGTGTGCATTTATTATTGCAAATCACTCATTAATGGTATTAAAATATGCCAGATATCCATCTAATTAATGTGATTCAAACATTCTGTGAAGGAAAATCACTACACACTGAAATTATGAATGCAAGTTTTTATTATTGTGAATCCGATACTGTTGCATTTTTAGCATTAGTAAAAGCATTGCAATAATTTCTTAATGTACAGTATGCTCAAAATCATAGCATTACAGTAGTATTAATAGAATTCACTGAAAGAAAATCACATTTTGTTCTAAACATATCAAATTATTCTACTGTTCCTGTGACAGGTTGGGATTTTGGAAAGCTAAATATGTGTCAACATGGTTAAGAAATCAAGTGCAATGTACATTTGTACATGTAGATTTGTATATGTAGAAGTAGAATTAAAATTTTCCGACATTTAAACAATGTCACTATGCCATGATGTATGCCTAAAATGCAAGTTAATTTAAGATTAAAGTCCTTAAAATACAGCTGATACAAGTATTTTTCAGTATCTCCCAGTACAGTAGGAGATCCAAGTACAAAAATGTAGGTATTGTTTTCATTTTTATGAAGTGTAATTACAGTAAATAATTTTCAACACAAACGATAAAGCTAGGCAATACACACATGGATGCACTCCTACATTTGTAATATAATGCAGTTACTTCCCTTTTTATTCATTTGAGTGATTAAGAAATAATAGCATATCAGGGGCGGACCCAGCCATTTTTAAAAGGGGAGTTCCAACCCAGGATAAAGGAGGTATTTCAACCATTATGTCCCCATTCAAAAGCATTGATCGTCAAAAAAAGGGGGTTCCAACACCCCCTGCCCCCACCCTGTATCCGCCACTGCATATAAACTTACCTCAGGATGTTCAGACAGAAGTGAATGATGATGTGAACTTGGATCTGCCGATCTTTTTCTTACGTCATGGTGTTCAAATAAATAATGTTCTTTTAAACTACCAATCTGAAACAGAAAATAAAGAGGACTGTAAGATGGTTAATATCATTACTTTATAAAGATGTTGGTATGTCCTGTTGAGATCATCATGACATGTTTTGATTATATGATATATATATATGTATAATGCAATTTGTGATAAAACATGACATACATGCACTGGCAGACCTATTTGGAAAATCACCGCGATTTTTGTAAAAACTCCGGTGTTTTTTGGCTAATCTCCGCGAAACGGATAAAAATTAGAGGTTCATCGTAAATTTGCTGTATTACAGGATATTTTGCATGTTATCCGGAGATTTTCCGTGTCGGCGGGAATTAGCCGTTTGTCCGATAAAACTGGTGTGTATTGAGTCATTGATAGAATCACTGATGCGTGAGCGACGGTTATTAATAGGTCGTTGTATAATCCGTTATGCGTGAGCGACGGTTATTAATAGATCCTTGTAGTGTGGTACAAATTATGATATATAGATGTTTACAGAATTAAAAACAAAGTAACTATAATCATTTGAGATATAAGGAATTTTCAAAAATATATCATATAATGTTTCTGTAAATTTAGAGAGAAACAGATTATATATATCTGGGGATTAGATGGTTACTTTTTTTAATTATATGTCAGAGGCCGCAGATCATTTAATTGCTTCTAGAACCGTTTATTGAAACAAAAATTAAATGAACGGCCAGGGGAAAGTCTTTAGTAACCTTAGTTGGTATCAGGGGTCAACTGGGTTGAGTTCAATATCGTAGCAGCTACGTAGCGGCTATGTAGTTGCTATCAATAACTATGTAGCAGCTTATCTATAGCTACACGTTCAATAGTAAAAATCTACATAGCACTACGTAGCCGCTACGATATTGAACGCAACCCTGGTAATACATAGAGTCAGACCGTCGTTGCATAATATGTATATGTATTTACACACAATGCAGTGCATTCAAACTCGATTTCGCAAACTCGTGGGTTGTCTTTTTAGACAAAAAAGTTCAATTTAAAAGATATGAAAGCTACGTACATGTATACAAGCATAGATATAATAGCCATTATATCTATGATACAAGGAATTGTATATTTAACGTCAATGCCTGTCTTGTAAACTAATCTGTTACACTTTGAAATGTAAATAAGTTCTTTTTAAAAGATTGGACGGTTATTTCACATGAATAAAAGTTCTTCTGATCATTTTTGTTTTACAATGATTTTTGAAAGTGCGATCTTAAAACTAAGTTTGTCCGGACTTGCATGGAATATTTGCCACTGGAAGTTAAGCAACCAACAATCAATCATCTTAAAATAAAATAAATATGCCTGAGCGATAATATTCTTAAATTTTTTAATGTGAAACACAGTTTCTTCATTTATTAGAAATCACTTTCAGGTCTAATGGTAAAGTGAATATACATTCCGGGATGAGATTAATTTACTATAATTGCCAAAGAAAAAGAATTGATATTACGTTTCTTTTAATTAAATTTTAGACTGCAACAAATGTAGATCGAACATTTTTAATAATGAAATAATGCACGTCAAAAATTTCGCTCACAATAGAGATGTTAAAAATAGATTTTATCAATTGTGTCACTGCACGAGATCTTCCAACGGCGGGAAACATCATGTAGCTATAAAAACAGGTGATGTTACTGACCGATTGTGGAATGTCAATTTAGGGTTAAATTTGATGTGTAATGATTGACATTATTGTGCGCGTTAGGTTGAGGCTCTAGAAGGTTCATTTCAATTGATAACCAAAATTATAAAATCAAGTTTTTTTTTCAAATCAACGTTTAAGTGTAAAATTTTGTGGGAGGGACACTTTATTTTGTTTGTTTTTTAGGGGCACAGGGAGTTACCATAAAAATCTATAGGAACATTGAATAAAACAATTTCGAAGGTCACAACTTGTAAACTAATGAAAACAATGATAAACACTGCTGACAAGCGTAAACAGTTGTACATTACTTAGAAAATAGAGAGAGTGAAAAAAAAAGGACGTTGATGATGGTTACTGTTCATGTTAATTTTGAAAGATCGTGGTAACTGATTTCTCGGATGGTGGTACTTGCCAAAAGGTTGTATAAAAGGACAAACTAAGTACAATTTTAGCCGTGATATATGGGGGCCCCTCACGCTTGAATTAATTTACGTTACGTATTTCGTCCGTTATTATGACCTACAGTTGATCATAGTTGAGTACTACGTATCGGTCAGGGGCGGATCCAGACACTGAAAAAAGGAAGGGTGTGCTAGCCAGGGTTTCTCAGAAAAAAGGGGGTGCTAGTACAGTTGGCCTAATGTATTTGAAGGCCAGGATTGGAAGATTATCAGACATTCTGTGGCTCAATTTTAATTTTATTTTCTAACTGTGAAGTGCTACCTAAGCCGTGGCCTGGAGAACCATACCCATTTTTTTAAAAGGGTGTTCCAAAGGCATATTAAAATACTTCCAGCATTATACAGGTCCTGAGGTACAATTTCTTGGGGAGGAGATTTCAATTGCTGTTATGTGGGTTAATTTTTTGTTACTAGGAATTTTCGTTTTTTTTTTTTCATCAGATTTGCCCCAATTGTCTATTCTGTTAAGGTTTCACAAAAGTCAAAATATATAACACTTCATAAACATCTGAACTTTGCCTGTATTTTTCAACCTATAATGAATAAAGTCCTAAACTATATGCAAATATCTTCATTTAAACATACTTAAACATATGCACACCGTGTAAATTGTAAATAAAATTGAAATTGTTATGTTGTGGCCAACCCGGTTCTTGGGGTGAACACCAAATTTTCCAAAAGAAATCTGGAGGCCTATTCTGATCATATTCTGATCCCCAATTTGATGAGAGAAAAAAATATTGTGGTCTGGCAGTTGACAAAAAAAATCGGAATTCCAGAATTCCCCATACCGTTTATTTCAAGAAAAAAATGTTTGGTGCATGGCAGTGGGGAATAACGTTGTGTTCCGAATTATTTCCGACTCAGAACAAACCCCTAACCCTTTGAATTTAAATTTTGCTCCTATATACCTTACTATCGTGAATTTTCAATGTTTCATGTATATTTCAGGTCAGATCCCAGGGCATACTATGTGTTCAAAATTATAAAAACGTAGAAAATTCATGATTCATGTACGTGTAATATGTCTCAAGAAAATGGATTGAAGGCATATTAATTATCAAATTATTTATTTGTACAAAAAAACACATAGGCAATGAAAACCGTGTGTGCGCCAAGAAAGGTCAATACGTATGACTCTGTCTCAACTCGGAGGCTGATTTAGGGGCAGGCTGTCCAGATCCCTCCTTATGGAACTACATATGGTTAATTTTGACTTTTATTTACTTGTTTCACTTACCCGAATAATTCAGTCGTTATATTCCGCTGATCTACGATTATTTCATTAACAAGTATATAGAAGAGATCGATTACGGAGAGAGACTGAATTTTTCGGGGTTAGTTCCACTCCGACCTTTTTTTAGTTTATACAATAAAGCAAGTCTATTTAATCCATTTCTCCGCTGTTTTCGTTATATATAGCACTTTCGTCATACTAAGGTTAGGTTTCAAAGAGTGGATCATTAATATGAACATGTCGGGGTCTTTTATAGCTGACAATGCGGTATGGGCTTTGCTCATTGTTGAAGGCCGTACGGCGACCTATAGTTGTTAATTTCTGTGTCATTTTTGGTCTCTTGTGGAGAGTTGTCTCATTGCCAATCATACCACATCTTCTTTTTTTATATATAATAACAATATCATAATTACAAATACTAATTCTCCTTACGTCATCCGAGAATACACGTGTCTTTTCTTTGGGCTAAAGCGCGAGTAGATAGTCAGATATATATATGGAATTTTGAAAGGACCTTGACTGGCTACACAGCCCTTGCACGATCTGATCGATGGTCAGAAATATGACCGTCAAGTTCTAAGTGCACACAAATGGTCACATGTCATGAATATCCATGAACGTACAACGAACTAAATTTTATATATACGAATCCTTGCTGTACCACAGGTGTCCTTGTGTAATGAAATTTTAGGGTATTGGTGCATAGTCAAGTGATTAGATAAACTTGGATAATCAATGAGAGAGAATGAATGACCATTTTAAGTTAATCCAGGGACTTTCTATTGATTGTTGTTTGCTTTACGCTGCATTAGCACAAAAATGCTATATCGCGGCGAGAGCTTATTCCAATATTTTTACAATTTAAGGTATATTTTTAAAATCAGACAATAAGGTCCTTCAATAAACTAAAAATCTAGACTAAAGGGACTTTCTATACTAACGGGATAAGATAAGATAAAACTTTTTTTTATTAAATAATGAAAGCTTTTTCAGATAAAGGGAGTGTCGGACATAGTTTTAACTCTAAATGAAACTGTTCTTTAATTCATAAATAATAAAACATAAAATTAAAGGCATTTTAGACCCTTCCTACAAACGGAAAAGATGAGCATGAAAAATAAGTGAAAGGGGGGGTGGGCATAAGTGACTGGTTACGAATTAATTTTAATAGTAGTTCACCGTGCAAGAAGTTTTAAAGTACTAATGGAATAGTGTGACAGAAGCGGATTTAGAGGGGGCCAGGTACCCCTTTTCTTGAAAAAAAATGTGGTTGATTATACATGTATTGGGAATCACTGAAGCATGACTGAAGCGACCCCCTCTTAGGCAGTCAGTGCATATGAAAATTTCTGGATCCGCCACTGGTGTGCTAGCTTATAAATGATATATTTTTTACTTCCTTTATTTTTTTTAATCCTTACTCCGTCTTTGTAAAATAATCGAGACTTCATCAGGTATACACGCGGAGAAATAAAATATTGAAGTGATTTGAGTACCGATATATGAAATGTCTCCTTGGTAGCTGGTATCCCTTGTGGGATTAATAAATTGAACTCATGTGTGCCGGAATAGGTAATTAATATATTTAATTTTTATTATTTGTCAACTTATGGTACGGTAATAACTTTTTTTATTTTCCTTTTGTTTCAATTT